CCTTTAATATTTATAAGTTTATATAGATCTTTCTTATATCTTTATATAAGTTAGTAACGATTAATAACTTTAAGTAAAATATAATTACTTATTACGCTATAATTTAAAAGTATATATATATAATATCCCGCGATTTAGATATCTAATACTATTTAGTTACTATAGCTTACTATTATTATATATAGGGTCCTTAGATCTTATTATATTATATTAGTCTATAGCCCTTTTATAGATAGCGTACCTTGTTTTTTACTTAGTCTTTATTTATTTTATTTAGGTATTCTTCTTCGATTTATTATTAATATCGTTTCTTTATATTTTCGTTATATAGTATTATATTAAGGCTTAAAAGACTAATATCTTATAGCTAATTAAAGATTTCTTATTTCTCGACGCTATATTATTTATATTATACTACTTCGTAGTTAATTACGTACTATACTTTATAATTCTATTCGTTTTTATACTAAAGGTTAAGTTTTCGTTTAGCGTCTTTTTATTTTTCGTATAGTATTTCTATATTAATTTTTCCTTAGTTAAATATAGCTTATAGCTTTTATATATATTACTAATAATATTTTAGTATACCGTTATATCGTTTATACTATACTTATACTTTTTTATATTTATAAACTCTATAGTTTAAGTATATATATTTATTATAATTTTCTTTATTATATTTAACTCGTTATATAAGCCTTTAAAAGATTAATAGTTTAGATACCTTAAAGTAAGTAGCGTTATACTATTCCTTTATTTTAGCGTATTTATAGATTTTATATATCTTTAAAAGATATCTTATTAATAAACTATAATTATTATAGTATTTATATAGCGTACTATAATCGGGTTCTAATAATATAACTTAGTTATTTAGGTAGCGTTAATCGATTTTCTAGTAGTTTAGTTCTATACTTAGGTAGGGTTTTAAAAGTACTTATCCTTCGAACTTAACTAGGAAAGCGTTATATTATACTTTTATCTAAAAGTATATTATATAATTTAAGTAGACGTATAATATCTATAAAATATACTTATAGTACTTATAAGTAAGTAGTATTTATAAATCGTCTTTAAATTCTCCTTATAGTTACTATTTTTATTATAGAGCTATAAAGGTATTAACTATAGCGATAGCTATAGTATAGTCTTCTTTATATAATACTAGTTAATATCGAATTAATATAGCTTATTAGTTTTCTATAAGAATTTAAGGTATTTATTAGGTTTTAATTTTAAGTATTTCTTTAAATTCTTTAAAGTATAGAGCGTATTTTCTAATTATAGTATTTTCCCTTAGTAGTAAGGGTAGTAGTATAAGTTTATTCTTATCTTCCGTTTCTCTAAGTATTTCTTATTCTTTAAAGCTTATATCGTCGATACTTTATTATTCCTCTTTAAGTTACTATCTAAGTTTCGTAAGTATAAGGGCTATATTTATATCTTCTTTATTATATTATTTATAGACTACCTATTATTATTATTAATTTTTATTTTATATATCTTCTTAGAATCGTTTACTATTCTTCTTAATTTAGTCTTAAGAGACTTTTTTAAGATAGGGGTATTTTAGTTCTATAAATTTAACTTATTTCTATATTTTAAGATCCCTTTATTATATTATTATAAGGGTTTTCCTTAATAGCTTTAAGAACTATTTAGTACTATTCTTATCGCTTAAGTATACTATATATTTATTATTATAGTATATAGTCTAACTAAGGAGTTTATACTTTAGTTCCTATCTATTAATAGCGTTTAGGTATTTCTTACCTTTTAAGGCTAGTACTTAGTAGGTTTTCTTCTCTTTATAAGGTTATCTAATTTCTTTAAAGTAATATCTAAGTTTCCTATAATTAAAATACTTTCCTTTACTTTTCTATATTATATTTAGATCTATCTTACCTAGGTTAATTATATAGGTATAGGTAATAGGAGTTTCGCGCTTCTTTTTATAGTTAGCTTATTAGTTAAAGTTATTCTTATAAGAAGGGTTTTAGTTTCCTCTTCCTTATTTCTTTTCTTAGCGTTATATATACTATCTATTATTAATTTATACTACTATAGTAATATAGTCTAAGAGGTTATTAAGTTAATTTTCCTTATAGAGCTTATCTTTAACTTCTTCTTTAAGCTTATTATAGAATCGTAATATAAGGGGTTTATTATCTTAATTAAGCTTTAAGGTAACTTAATAGAACTTTATAGTATAATCTAATACTAAGATCCTTTATTAAAGTTCTCGAAGTTTTTATTTAGCTTCTTATTTTTTATTAGTTATTCTAAATACCTTTATAATAGCTTCTTTAAATCCTTAAAAACTAGTAAAGACTTTATCTATCTTATTATCTTATCGCGCTAGTTAGTTATTAAGAAAATCCCTTATAATAGGTCTAAACTAAGCGAGTACTATTTTAGATAAATAATTTCCTATATAGAGTACCTTTTCGACTAAGTCTAAGAGTTTTATAAGGTAAAACTAGTAGTAGGCCTTAAGTTAGGTAAGAAAGTCTTAAAGCGTGCTATAAGTACCGTTAAATAGTCCTAGCTATTTTAGTTTAACTACTTCTCTAAGGTCTTAAACTTATCTATTACCTCCTTTATTCTTAAGTAACTATACCTTATATCGAAGGGTAATAATCTCGCGTATTATATCCTAAGGCAATATAGTAGCTCTAGAGTTAGTCGATCTAGTTTACTATATAGGTATATTAATAGTTACGATATTACTTAAAGTAACGCGGTATTATACTAAATAAGAGCTTTTAATATATAACGACCGGTATTATTCCTAAGAGATAAACCTATTAAGGGGTTTATATTAGTAGATATAATAGGGCGTAGTCTAAATAATAATATATATATTATATTAGTAATAAGTTAGAGGTTATAGACTATAGACTATAACTAGGTAATTAGAATTAGAAATAGAATCGTAATAAAGATCTATATTAAAAGCTAGAGAGCTATCTATCTAAAGGAGTAAAAGTAGGTAGCTATATATACCTATAGAGACTGTCCTTAGATTACGGTCCTAGCTATAATCCCTTTCGTAGCTTACTATAGCTTACTTATAAGCTATGCTCCTAAGTAGTAATCTATTTATATAAGGCTTACTTAGCTTACGTACGCTCTAAGTAAGCTAAGCCTAAGTAACTTCTCGTTCTAACTATTATTCTAAGCCGCCTTATTACGTAAACGTGGCCGGCTCTCCTACGGCCCGCTAACTATAGTCGTAATAAAGACCTTATAGGGAGGCCTAGGCCGACCTTCTTAGCCTTTTACTAGCTCTTTTTTAACGCCGGATTCTTATTTTCCTTCTTAAAAAAGACTAATAAGGTAGACTAAGATAACTACCGCTATAACTAAGGAAGGTATATAGCTAGGCACCTTATCCTAAGGTACCCGAACTATAGAAAGGAAAGAGAGGTCCTTTACTAAACCTTTAAGAGATAGAAGGGGGCCCTTAGTATACTTATTTTCTATAGCTCTAAGGAAGGAAGGGAAGCCCTTTTAACCTTCTTAGCTAAAATAGAGATAGGGATAGCTAAGTAGCTTAAAAAGGAGTAACCTAGGGGCCCTAGGGCCCTTATAAGGGAAATTTACCGCGCGGGAGGAATTAGACTAACCTTTACTTTATTTTTACCTTTATAGCTACCCTTTCCCTAATTAGTTATAAGCCCCCGGGCTCTAGAGCTAGCTAGGACTACTAATAGGGGCCTAGGCCCTTATTAGCCTTACTATAGCCCTAGAGGCTATATATAAGTGATAATATAAAAAAGATTAGCTATATATTAGTCTATAGCTTACTAGGACCCTTATTAGGTTATAATAATAATATAGACCGCTTTATAAGGCTATTTTAATATAAGTAGGCTAGGGAAGATAATTTAACTTTTATACCTTTTTACTTAATCTCTTTAATAAATTCCTTTATAAAGAGGACTATCTTATTATCTAAGGCTAAAAAAGCTACTTAAAGATTATACTTTAACTAAGTTATTACTTTAAATATTAGCTAGATATATAATAGGTTTATTTTTCTATTTACTTTATATATATAGAGATACACCGACTAGATGCTTTAAGGTACGAGTAGCAAGCTACACGGGTAGACGGGAGTCAAGTCTGCCCTAATTATTACCTCACCAGTCCTATATCGAGCGTGAGGGGGCTACGCCTGCTGGACGGCACTAGATAAGTAGAGAGCATGGAGGCGACCCGCGATTCTTTCGGTAGGCAATCAGCCTTTGAGTTTATTGGTCTCATTTAGGGCTTCTAGCGTTAAGATCTTTTAGATACAAGCGCAACGGCAGGCGGGAACTTGAGTCATACCGAGAGATATACGAAGTACTTTATACTTAGAAACGCATGAGTTTTCATACTTTACGTCTCGTCTATAACTTTCCTAGGCCCTTTGGCAAGTGATGTCATAAAATGCTTAATACTATCTCATATAAAGTGGAAGGAGATGGAAACAAATAAAGGGTCATCTTGACTTTCTCTAGCGGTGGTCATATCCCGTTATATTATCCCTCGCCACTGAGAGGCAAAGAGCCCGGGGAACTGTATGGAGGGATGACGCCCAGAAACAATATAACGGAGGCACCTAGCGCGACACTCAACGCATACACGTGTCGTGACATGACGTCTCAGATGCATCGCCATATACGGGATCTCGCAGGTGTTTTGTCTGGATTCAGGCCCGGGTGGCACGGGCTTTTCGAGAACGGGCTGCCGTACCAACAACCTGTTTCGGCAAGCAACCGGAACAGGTCTGTAAGGCTCTTGGCCCAGAACGGGTAAAAGCAAGTGGTCGCGCTACTAGACCCCCCCCCCCCTTCTGCCAAGGTGAGAAAAGGGAACGAAATTGACGAGCTATCGCTTAGTCAATTGACCACAGGCAAGAGCGTTTGGTCGAGCATCCAAACGACCAACCGAGGGCTAGCTAGCCCCGTGAGAAGGTCATAGCGGTTTAGGACACAAACAGGTAGCGACTCATGGGCCATTTACGTCGTCAGTCCAGCTTATACTGACTCGTTTATTCCGAGAGACACAGGGGATTCCTATCAATGGTGGCAGAGCCCAGATACAAAAGAAAGAAAAGTCCCAACTTCTCTTTACAATCAGTTCAGCAATATTAGCATCTAGACGCCAGGCTTGCAAGCTTACCCGCATTTACCTTTCTACCCTAATTCTACTCCCAACTATATCTACCGTTTCTATTTCCTCTATACTCCTCTTACCAAGCTCGCCCTCCCTTTATAAATCTTACTAATTATCAGTATGGTTTGCTTTGCCTCTCTCCTGGCTAGTAAGTTATATATAAGTTCACGTGTTAAACCTTTTGCTGACCTAGTAATTAGTTGCCTTGGCTGCTCAAGGTCTTCAGGCGGCCCCGAGCCGTTACGACGATGAGCTCGGCCTGCAGTCCCGAGCCTTCCGGCATACCAATCTGGCCTCGGGTCCTCAGCCGTTGAAAGCCAACGACGAGCCCGGCCTACAGTCCCGAGCCTTTCGGCATACCAATCTGGCCTCGGGTCCTCAGCCGTTGAAAGCCAACGGCGAACCCGGCCTGCAGTCCCGAGCCTTTCGGCATACCAATCAGGCCTCGGATCCTCAGCCGTTGCCCAAGCGACAGAACGGGGCCCCGGCTGCCGGAGAGAACTCGGGCGCTCTAGCCGGGACCGAGAGTCCAGCAGGCAAAGCCCAGGCAGAAGGTGAAGCTCAGAGGACATGAGCCACGGCAGGGCCTCCCGCCGCCGCCCCGAAGAAGCCTCGATGTCCGTCTGCGGTCCGTATAATAGATGCCCACGGGAAGCAACGCGGCATATACAGAGTGTACGTGGATCTTTGTATTTAGTAATTTACATGTTGAGAAACCTTGGGGCCTGGTCCTCTACACCACGCTCCACGTGAGATAGGGTCCAAATTCCCTGCCGCGCTCATCTTATTCGAGGCTATGCTCAGCGCAAGTTGGGGGCGAGGGGCAACATACGTTATGCCTGCGGGGTGGTCAGAGTGAAAGGATCGAGGTTGCAGCTTGCAAGGAGCGCATCCATAGGGCGGCTACCACTTCATGATGTGACCGAGGGTGAAGCAGAGTCGTCTAGGTCAAATGAATCATTATCACCGTCCATAACCTGGACTGATGGCTGGTGCATACCGCTCAGGTGATGACGAACAAGCGATGTTTCTGATGGCTGCGGAACGGGGCTTAGATTTCTCGTATGGGTTTAATAGCATTGTGACTATATGGTCTGGTAAGCGGGTTTAGAATCACATGTGACGTAGCGACACCTCGACTTGACCGAGACGATTGGTACTTCAGCCGTCGAGCACAATGACATTATGAGGAATAAAGCCAACGGGCAGGCAGGCAGGCGGCCTGGGCACGGTGTGGACCCCTCGTCTGCCGGCAGTGCCATCGGCGAGCACGCATGCGCGAGAGCCATCGGCACGCACAAACACCTCGCTCCAGATAGCATCGAGCCTGCTCCTCCCCCCCCGCGAAGCCCTCGTCACGCCGGCCTCTCCAACTTCCACCACGATTTTTTGTATACAAAATAACCAAAGTTGGAAGAAGAAGCAAGGATGGTGGTGCAAGTCATGGGCGCCAAGGACCCCGGCCAGGTGCTGGTTCGCCCAGTGCGCCATTTCGAACATCTCGCCATCCCGAACCCCTCAGATCCGAGCTCCGTCCTCCGCAGTCGGCCCTCCGCGAACCCACTTGCCCAGCTCACTGAGCACGTAATACCTACATACTACATACTACATATTATTACTACATGGGACATCATGAGTTACATACTGTACGTGTGCATGCCTATAAGAGAACCATCCTCCCCCTCCCTCCCCCTTTCTTCTCGAATTCACCTCTCCCCTCCGTCCTCCTTGCTTCCTCCCCACCACCGACTTGCAGCTCTCCCAGCTCCCAGCACCACCCGCCGTCTCGAGCATTACCTGACAGGCGGATAGCCAGCCAGCCAGAGACACCGACTTCCCGAATAACCTCCACCCCCCTCCCCCATATCAATCATGCCCGAGCTCAAGGTCGGCGCCTCGTTCCCCGACGACGTCGCCTTCACCTACATCCCCCCGTCTCCCGAGCGCGACATCAAGGTGTGCGGCATTCCGCAAAAGTACGACGCCAGCAAAGGTCCGTCTGCTCCCCCCCCCCCATCCCCTCATAGCTTTTCGTGTTGAACAAAGAGAGAGAGAGAAAGACAGTCGGTGCTGACCAGAAGACACCAAAAACCCAGAGTTCAAGAGCAAGAAAGTCATCCTCGTCTCCGTCCCCGGCGCCTTCACCCCAACCTGCCAAGCCTCCCACCTCCCCTCGTACCTCGACAACAAGGCCAAGCTCAAGGCAAAGGGCGTCGACCACGTCGTCGTCATCGCCTATAACGATGCCTACGTCATGTCTGCCTGGGGCAAGGCCAACGGCGTGACCGATGACTTTGTCGTAAGCCCTCCTCCCCCTTTGCTCTCTTTCAAGCCAGCCAGCGCGCACACAAAGCTAAATCCCCGTGCCTCTGCCGCTGTAGATCTTCGCCTCCGATGCCGATGCCAAGTTCAGCAAGAGCATCGGCTGGACCCTTGGCGAACGCACCGCCCGATACGCCATCGCCGTCGACCATGGCAAGGTCGTCTACGCGAGCCAGGACGACGACGCCAAGTCCATCGACCAGTCGGGTGCCGAGGCGGTCCTGGGGAAGCTGTAGATTGCATGTCCCGCGATAGAGTGCTCACCCATAGAACCGTCGTGCCGCGATAGATGGTACCACATAAATAGAAGTCACGCCGCTCCAGTCCTTTCCTGTTTGCTCAATCTCCTCGCCAGACTTGTCACTCGATCGTGTGCCGATGCTTTTTTCCCTTGTTCTCCTCGTCAACCCCAACGCAACAGCCACTCTGATTTAAGAGAGGAGATGGCCATGTCTTTGCACTCCCACGCGGTTATGCATTGCAGCGCTGCACGAAAACATGGCAAGGCATGACGGCAACAGCTCATCGGGGCCGTGGCACCGGCATTTCAAGTTTTTGTTTTTTTACTCAACTGCCAATGCACCCTACCCAGGGCGTTCCAAGCAACCCGAGATTGTAGAAGAACCGGCCGGAAAGGACACACAAGAACCACAGACTCCCGCCACTGCTTCCCTCGCGCCACCACCACTTAGCGGGTCCGCGCGGCGACCTTGACAGGCGCGCCCTTGGCGCCCTGCTTGCTGACGTTGCGCTGCGTCTGGCCCTTGGACGCCTGGGCCGCCGTCTTGGCCTTCTCGGCCTTCTTGGCCGCCGCGGCAGCCTGCTTCTTCTCCTTGCTCTCCTTGATGGCCTGGGCGCGGGCGGCCGACCGGGCCTCGGGCCGCATCGCGCGGCGCTCCTTGATCACATCGAGCGAGGCGCCGACAATGGCGCGCTGGGCCTTGACGGTTCGGCGGGTGCGCTTCTTGGCGACTTCCTGTTGGAGGGAGGGAAATCGTCAGTCTTCTTGACTCCTCGGCGTTGCCCCCGCAGTGAGGCGTTTCAACTCCCCCTCATCACGCTTTCAAGTCGCGACGAGGGGGACAGTGTATGTCGGAGTCGTACCTCAGAAATGCCCTTGCGGTGCTGTCGGCGGTACAGGACGGTCCATGCGATGCGGCGGGGGTTCTTTCGTTGCAGGAAGAGCGACTCCGACTTGCCGTTCTGGAATCGGAACACTTTGCTGTCGCCGCGGACGTAGATTTTGCCCTGCAAAACGACAAGTCCGCTGTCAGTGATCCAGTCCTTGGCCACATTGTATTCCCCTCCCATCCACCCTCATCCTCCATCAGGGCCCTCTCCCCCTCTCTCCATCCAAATCGCCGTCGTGCAAACGGGGAATGCAACGGGGGAAGGGGGGGCAAATCGCACCTTGCCAGGGTAAATCCTCTGTCCCGAGAAGGTGTCGTCGTAGGTACGCATCTTGTCGCTTCGGCGGGGTGAATGGCGACAAGGTGTGGTGTCGTGGACCGAGGGGGATTTGGCGTTGGCAAGAGGATCGAACGGCCGTGGGTACGTTCAATTTCGCGAATTGGTGGTGTGTGCTAATGACTAAGCCGTCGCCTAGGGCAGGCGTTGAGTCGATTTGCATTTCACGGCGGTTTTCAGCACGTGCCAAATCACGTGATGTATTGGATCCCGAAACACTCCTCCACTCCAACCTTCACCCGCCAATCATCGTGGGCTTCTTCACGTGAGAGCCGATTCCTCCCAAATGCTCAGCAGCTCAATCTGCATCCTACATCTACGCCCAGAATCCTCCTCTCCCACCTAATAACCAGGCTGTTGTACGGATCGGATCATGAACTGGTGCCCTCACCCCCGAGACCGTAAATGATATCCCGGGCAAACCGCATCGCCCACGCCGTCACATCGCAGTTCAATGAGCTGCCCGCCAAGCGGAAGCCCTCGGTGCGCGACAATGGCGTGCACGAATGGGTTCCCCTGAGCGGCATCGTCGCCGAGGAGGACGGCTGTATCACCTGTCTGGCTCTGGCGTAAGCTTCCTCTCGCCCCCCTCACCCGTACTACTTACACACATACGAGGCCCTCCTCTGTGTAGGTTTCTTCTAAAACCGTCACTCAATAGGACCGGCATGAAGTGTCTCCCCGCGTCAAAGCTCCCCGAGGCCAACGGCAATGGCCTCCATGACTGGCACGCCGAGGTCCTGGCCCTCAGGGCCTTTAACCGCCTCCTTCTGGACCAGTGCAAGACCCTGGCCGAGGGCTGCGTCCCAACCGCCCAGGTAATGGAGTGGGCGCGGCAAGGGGCCCCAGGCGAGGGACATGCTCCGCCATCGAGGCCGTTTCGCATCAGAGAGGGCGTCAGGCTGCACATGTACTGCTCCGAAGCGCCATGTATGTACCATCATTGAACCGGCCGGGCATGTTATATGATGATGTAGTGACCAGGGCAAGCAGGCGGAGACGCGAGCATGGAACTCACCATGGCTGCCCAAGACGATGCTTCCCCGTGGGAACCCCCGACGGCGGCTACCACCCCGTCCACGGCCGCCGCTGCCGCAGAACCCTCCCTCCCCGGCCGGGCCTACTTCTCCCGCCTGGGTATCGTCCGCCGCAAACCCTCCCGCGCCGACGCGCCCCCCACAGCCTCCAAGTCCTGCTCGGACAAGCTCGCCCTCAAGCAGTGCACCTCGCTCCTCTCCTCCCAGACATCGCTCCTCGTCGACCTGTGCTACCTCGACTCCCTCGTCCTGCCCGCGTCGCAGTACTCGGCCACGGCTTGTCACAGGGCCTTTTCTCCGGACGGCCGCATGGCAGCAGCCTTGGCCGCCGCCGCCACCTGGTCCGGGGACTACGCCTTTCGCCCCTTTGTCGTCGAGATGACGGACCACGTGTTTGACTCGTCGCGCGAGGCCGTTCGCGCCCGTGCTGGCGACAGCATCTCGGCTTGTAACATTGCCGCTGCCTGGTCGGCTGCGGGCGTTGAGGAATCCGTCATCGGCGGCGTGCTTCAGGGCAGGAAGCCCTTTCACGAAAAGGGGGCCAGCCGCATGTCGAGGAGGCAGATGTGGAGGGCGGCCTCGGAGCTTGCGGACCTACTGGATGGGCACGGTGAGATCAGGGACCAGCTAAACCGGCAGAGATACTGGGAAGTCAAGACCGGACAGCTGCTGGCGGACAGAAGGGCAGTCAAGGCCGCAGTTCGCCAGACAGCCCTGGCCGGTTGGAGTGCCAGCAAAGAGGACACTGAATTCGGGAAAGACGTCGCCGACTGACTTGCACCTAGAGGCATGGGTTTCTTCTTTTTCATGCGAGGTTGGCATCCCTCGCGACGCAGCCCGCAATTTTGTACAAAATCAAACCCTCTTAGATAGTCCGCAGTGTCGCTTCGCCCAGCACATTCCAAGCCCTAATCGCTGCACCCCTTCCTTCGTAGAAGCGTAGGAGCGCCGCGGGTGACCTGCCAAGGTACTTTGCCTCGGCCAACGCAGGCCATCAAGTTCCCCACCTCTAGCCGCCCTTTGCAAAACCGTCGTGGGCAGGCTTATTCGACCTTGCTCTCAAAGTTCTCGCCCTCGACCAAGTCGGGAATCTCGTCGTCATCGTCGCCCTTCTCGCCCTTCTGCATGTTCTGGTAGCTCTCGGCAAGCTTGCGGAGCGAGGCCAGCGAGTCGGGGCCGAGCTGGTTCAGGATGCCGGGGACAAGCTCGGTGAGCTCTTTGTCCTCACCGTTGCCATAGATGGCGAACGTGTTGGCGGGAACGGCGGCGTGGACTGCGAGCGGGGGGCCAAGGAAAACGTATGTCAGCACTTCGCTGCTCATAGACGAGGCCGCGCAGGACTGGAGGCAGAGGAAATGGCCAAACGCACCCTTGGGAGCAGCAAAGTGGATCACGTTGCCATCAGACTTGAACATGTTGACCTCCTCAATGGCCTGGATGGGCTGCGTGTTGAGCTTCTTAAGCGTCTGTTGAAGCTTCTTGTCGTCGGCGCCGGACCGGGCGGGTGCGCGCTTGACCTTTCTCCGGGGAGTTCCCTTTCCACTGCAACGGACACGGCATTAACGGTCGGTTCGGGAGGGAAGGACGTGCAACGGCATCGTCGAAACCGGGAGATTCCTAGACATACCCTGTGCCATTTCCAAGTTAGCTTCGCATTCGCGATGATCAAAGGACCCCCTCGATCAAAAGAGAACCAAAACTATATCTGTCCAGCCTCTGGTCACTCACCAGTTCGGGCTCCCAGGCCAAGCTTCTTGAGGCGCTCCTGGACGTCGGCCATGATGTGCAAGCGGAAGTGAGGAAGGTAGGGGAGCTCGAAAACCTTGGGGGCTTTTGGCGTCAGCGGGATTCGGCGGGCCGCGCGAGGCCAGAGGGAAAAGCGTGGCCGCGCGACCTGGTGCTGCTACATACCGGGAGATGAGGGGACGGCGTCGAGAGTCTGAATTATCGCCAACGAACTCGGAATTGGTGATGGAGCAAGGCACTACTTCGCAGAGCAGGTTTTGTGCGTGCCAAGACTTTTTCGCCCCTGGATTATGTGTTTTGCCGAGCGGGCCCACCCTTGCTGACATCTCCAGCTCTACAGACAGGGTATGCATCTCCACTCCAGCTGCCGCGACGGATAAACCTCCAGCGGACCAATCTCTGGGCTTGGAGCCGAGTCTTTTTCAACGTCCAAAGCGCTATCCACTAAACAGCGAGGCGTACAGACCAGTGCTTCTCCCCTTGGGCCCCTCGGTCCGCCAACTCCGCGTCAAACCAAACGTCATGATTCATCAGTCATCATCTCCAGACAAGTGAAGCCCTGTGTCGTCGGGCAAGGGAATGGCAATCGTGGCATAACTGCATTACTATGTGACATCATATTTTACCCCCGGGGTAAATCCTTGCGCGGCAATTACAACATTAGTCGAGGCCGCCGCCGTTCTCTACCAGCTTGCAGGCCCAATGGGCGCCTGGCCCTTGATAAACGTCTTGGTGACGGCCGTGGCGTTGGCATCCAACGTGTTGGTCACCACCGACACGCCCCACCACGCTGGGAACTTGGTCTCGCTGAGACCGAGTCCGAGCCCAGACAAGACGGTGCACAGAGCCGTCCCGATGTCGAGGGCTCCCGAGAGGGGGTAATTGTAGCGAGCTGCGGGACGCGCCGTTAGCCGTGCCGAGGGACGCGGGACAAGAGGGGCACACTTACACCACCAGCCCAAGAAGCGCCTGCGGATAAAGTAGTTGAAGATGAGTCCGACAATGACCCACTGGAACAGGTAGAAGAGCGTGGCTGGAGGCATCATGCTGGCGGCGCCAAACAGGGCCGGCGTGACAATGTACCGAACCCACGACCGGGGCCAGCGCCGAGCGGCAAAGTACTGGATGACGGGGCAGCCAAAGCCAATGAGCCAGAACCAGTTGATCCAAGAGTAGAGGCCTCCTACGCCAAAGACCTTTGCGGGGCCGATGACGCCCCAGATGACGCTGGCGTTGTAAAACGTCTTGGCGTTGGGGCACGTCAAGCCCTGGGCCTGATCCTTGGTGCAGATGCCCTCAATGTTGCCGCGGAGGAAGTTGTAGGTGGAGATCTGGACAAAGGAGAGCCAGATGACGGCGAAGGCCTGGGCGGCGAACATGCTGCGGGGGGGGATCTTCATGTAGTGGCCCACCTTCATGTCGGAGATGTATGTCAGGCCGTTGTACGACAGCATGTAGCCCCAGGACTTGAAGAGCATCATGGCGACGGGGCGGCCGGGCATCATGTAGCCGACAATCATCTCGGTGATGACGTTAAGGCCCGTCTGCTGGTTGGTGATGGCCTGGACCATGCCGATGGGGATGAAGAGGACGACGCCAATGAGGATGCAAATGATGTAAGCCCACCACGGCAGGTGCGTCTTCCAGAGCTGGCTGGCAATCATGCCAAAGGCAAAGCTGACGGCGAAGATGGCCAGAAACCACCACTCGGGTGCCTCCTTGTACTTGCGCATGAGCTTGAGGTGGACATCGGGCTCCTCGTACTTGGCGTCCCGGGCGCGGTTCCAGACGTCGGAGCCGTAGAAGAGGAAGACGTGGGTGATTGTGGAGATGAGCGTGGCAAAGGACAGGCCGTACGAGAGGGAAAAGGTGGGACCGAGCAGGATGGGCGAATAGGCCCGGTAGGCCGTCTCGTTGACAGTGAAGTCGGGGGTGAGGATACGGCTGGTGTTGTAGGGCTCAGCGAAGCGGTCAAAGTTCTGGTTGGCGCTGAGGGGGAGGTAGCGGTAGTACTCGGGGCCGGCCCAAGCAAGGCCAATGGCACCAACTGTCGTCAGGATCATGCCGGCGAGGACGTTGAAGATGGCAAAGGCGGGCGTCTGGAGAGGTGAGAGCAAAAATGCGGTGACGACGGCCCAGTCAAACGAGATGGGCAAGAGGCCGAGGCCGGTCTGGCCGCCAAAGAGCTGGTTGACGACGACGTTTGTGGGGGCGATCCAGGTGGCGAACATGAAGAGGGACAAGAAGGGGGCGATGACGAGGGGGAACCACTCCCAGCCAAAGGTGCAGAGGGCGACGAGGAGGAAGAACTTGTAGCGGCCAATGCGCCAGCCATTGGTCTGAGAGGGATCCGAGGGCCGGTGGTCGTGCAGCGAATACATGACGGAGCAGGTGATGAGGGTGGCGGGCCAGACCATGGACGAGGGCCAGACGAGGAAGCGGCGGGCGACGCCAGCGACACCGAAGCCCATGGCCTGGGTGGACAGCATGAGGAGGATTTGGAATCCCCATTTGAAGTGCTGCTGGTAGAAGATTTCCTGGGCGAGCAGAATGTCGATGGAGTAGCTGATGGTGGAGCCGGCGGCCGTCATCATGGTGATGATGGTGTGCTCCTTGACGTTGAAGGGGCCGGGGTTCAGCTCTAGGGTGTGGCCGAAGAGGGTGAAGGTCTTGTGCGGCATGGCCTTGGCCCAACCGACACCCAATCTAGATGAGAGTGGTCAGTTGGACGGGGGCGGAGGTTGGGGGGGAGGGGGGGGGCTCACGGGTAAGCAATGAGCTGGACGACGGTCGAGGTGATGGAGATGGGGGTGCGTCGGAGATTGAGAAGGACGTTGCAGGCGGCGATGATGGTGCAGAGAATGACGCCAATGGTCCAGGCGCGGATGGTGTTGACGGGGAGGTCGAGGTCGTGAGGCGGGACCTAGACTGGGGGTCAGCTCGGGAGTCTTGGGGGATAGACGGCGTGTAAGCGACTGACCGAGGAGCGGACTTCGGGGTAGGGCGAGTCCTCCTGGATGAGCGACTCGTCAATGGCGGCCTCCTTTTCGGCGTTGCCCGAGGCGAGGGCATCGTCGATGTTGTCGAGCTTGTCGTTGTCGAGAAAGGGATCCCACTTGTGCTGCTTCCTGAAGCGGCGCAGCTCGCGGTCCGGGTTGTGGTCAGCCGACATGACGGGGAGAATCTCGGCGCCCGTCGAGTCGGCGCTGTCGGCGGGCGTCTCGCGCGCCTTGACGCCGAAGCGCTCCTTGATGCCCATGATGCCCAGGGTTGTCGTGGTGTGGCCAGCGGCAGAGTGCAACTACTCGGGACACAGGGAAAAGACGTCTGGGGGGGCAGCCAAGGAGGCGAGGGGACGAGAGAGGGACGATAGCAAGAGAGCGAGAGAGAGGCGGGCAGTGCCAAGTTTATATCAGGAATGGCCACGCGGAAAAGGAGAGGAGGAAGAGTGGGGTGTGTGGAGGAGGAGGAGGAGATGGAGGAGGAGGAGATGGAGGAGGAGGAGATGGAGGAGGAGGGTGGGAGGGCGGAGGCGGACGAGACGGGCAGGTGCAGGACCAGGGCCGGAGCAAGCTTCTCGAGGGACCTTGAGGACTATGAATGGGCGTGGTCTGGGCTCTTTTCTCTCACCATTGCAGCGCCGGGAGTGAATTCCAAGGCTGTGCGAGCAGCAACAAAGACTCGCACAAATCTAGCACACACACACACACTCAGTCTCTCCAACTAAAAGCACACGCGCGCGCAGAGCAAAAGCACTACCTCCAGGTACCTTTGAAAGGTGGTGCTGGTGCGTCCGGCGCCGACGCATCTGCAAATGCGGAAGCAATGCTTGTTAGGGGGGGCATGGGGGGGAGAAGGGAGGCGACCCCTGCCTGTCCAAGCTTCCAAGCTGTCCCCGGGTCCCGTCTCCTAAAGCCACACTAGGCCAGGTTCCCCATGACAAAAGTGCTTGTATCTGTAGGTACCGGCTGACTGGTCTGGTGCCCTGACACCGGACAGGGAAAACTCGCAGGCCTGATTCGCAGCCCCAGGCCAGAAAACACTGGCCCTTTTGGCACAAAGCCACGGACGGCGATTGGGCAGATACGAGGTACATAGAGACTGACAGTACTGTACGTACACTACACTAGGCGGGCCTGGCGAAACAGTCGACAGCTTGCGTTAGTCTGTCGAGAGAGAGAAAAGAGAGGGTGGCGGCGGCGGCGCGCGACCTGCCCGATGAAGACGGGCCAGCTTGGCACGCGGTGCGACAGCCCTACACATGCGCATATGCGAGGGCATACAGAATCGACAGCCAGGGCCGAGCTCCGAGATGGCATTCCGCGATGCCGCCACGGCCTTGGCTCTCGTCGCCGTGTTTAAACCAGTTTACCTAGGTACTGTACCTAGTAGGCAGGTACTGTACCTCATGGTAGGTCATAACGCGCAACCGTACAGACTACAGGACCTGGGCCGCCCGTGGGTTACAGCGGGCGGGCGGGTGTTGTAGGTGCCCGCCCAGGCGCCGCCCAGGCGGTCGGGGCGCCACCACGTTGATGGCGAGTCCGCTAGCAGCAAAAGCCCGTGGGCAGGTGATGAGGGCACCAGCCATGCATCATTGCATGTCGTCGTGCTCGTGCCGCTGGCCTGCAAGCGGCTCAAGTGGAGGCCCCCCCGCTCCGTTCCTGGGCCTTTTTGTCGGTGGCGGCGCCGTCCCCACGGTTGTCGCGTGCCGTGAAGAAAGTGTAATCGACCAACAAACAGCTCGGTGAATTTCGAGAACCTGCCCGACGCGGCAAGGCACGCGCGCTGAAGCGGCTGACGGGGGGGAGAGAGAGAGAGAGAGAGAGCCGCTTTCATCGTGCAGCCAACAACAGAAGTGTCAATAGTGCAATTACTCTGTACCTACCACCCAGGTACCTACGGTACTAGTAGGTACGTAGTCGCCTGGCTCTTGGGAACCGATGCGGTACAGGATATATCTCACCTGGCCCTCCAGCTGCCCAAGATGCCGCGGTATCGCGGCGGTACAGCGGCGGTACAGCGGCGGTACATGGGCCCAGCAGAAACAGGCACAGCGACGCCCCTCCCCCGCGCCCCCAGAAAAAGCCCGGTGCGGCACCCCCGATTTATTAGCGCCTTCCTTATCTCGGAGGACCTTTTGTCTCCTACTCGCCCATCTGTCTTTCTTCTTCGCTTCTCGAGCCCCTCCCTCCCTCCCTCTTTACCCAACGCCCGCCGCGCCAATGAAGAACAGCCGCTGTCTGCGGTAGAGCCCACCTGCTGAAAAGGTGCTAAAAAGGTGCCCTCTCTGTCTCGCTCAGCGGGCCCAACCCATCTACATTATTCGTCGAGGTATTCGTCGACTATTCTTCGACTATTCGTCGACCCGCCGAGGACCGTGTCTCGGCCGAGTGCACACCCGACGTCTTTGCCCTTTTTCCTCATGGACCCAACGACTTCGGACGGATCCACATCGCATGACATGCATGACAACGAATCACCCCATGAGCAAACAGCCCTTCTTCATCGTCAAACAAACAGACACTGCCAGCATCCCTGTCATGCTTTTTCTGCTTCCCCCGCATTCTGTATTCAGTCTGGGGCAGCCTTGGCAGAGCACGAGAGTTGCCGCCGCTGGGGATAAGGTTGGCCTCTTGTTCTCCCTCGTTGCTCCTTCGGATCCTGTGCCGAGGATTCTTCACAAGTCATTACCCGCGACGAACTTTTGTTGCCGTCCAACATGGCGCTATGCCATCCCATCATGACATGACATGGCATGTGACGTGCAAACTGTCGCCTGCAGTGTGTATCAATCAGGCTACCTATCATGAAATACTCCGTCCGACACGACGCACATGGGCCAGCGCAGATTATGCTTATCTGCCTCCTTTATTACCTTCTCCTCTAGCAGAGATACCGATAAACCCCCCCCCCCCTTGCCCTGCTTGCCCTGCTTGCCTGGCTTGCCTGCCCGCATCGCACGCATCTCGGACGGCCCCGTCTCGCTGCGCCCGTGAATTGCACTGCGCCGCCTACTGTACGGACGTTTTGGACTCTACAACGTAGCACTTTACCCGGGGCCTTGGGGCTCGGCACCGCCGGCCCCCCAGAGAACCAGGTAAACGAACAAACGACGCTCGGCACGACGGTCCCCGGGCCGATGAAATGTGGAGGCGAGGCGACGGACTCTCGAACCCACCAGTGCTAACATTCGACATCGGCCAGTCTGTGCCGGCCTGCGCCTCAACACCCACCTCCACGCCCACTTCAACACCCACTTCAACACCCACTTCAACACCCACTTCAACACCCACTTCAACACCCACTTCAACACCCACCTCAACGCCCACCATCACGAACCCGCCCGACTCTTCCGTCACGACGAGCCGAGGGACCATGCAGGAGCGACGCCCGCCAGAGGCAAAAGACGAGCCGTTACGTGTAAATGCCAATCCCTCTCCCCAGCGGTAAGCCACGGGGAAGGGGGGGCGGGAACTTATGACGGGGCGAGTGTGGGATTGGCTGGCTGCAGTTCCAGGCGGCATCCATCCCTGCGGGACCCTTTGTGTCGTCGAGATTCGAGGCCCGTTCTTTTTGCCTTTCTCTCGATGCTCGCGCTTCATCAACGGTCCCGTGAGAGGGCCGGTTTGATTGGGGAGGTGGCAAAGAAGACGACCCAAGTCCCCGGTCCAGCCGACAGAGTCCTTCACCTCCTCCTAACGGCAACACTATGTACGCACAAGGCCCTCGCAGCCAACGACGCCCAGCAGGCGTCACGCGCGCCTATGGTGCAGACGAGCTACTGATTCCGCCGCAAGCCCCCAAACGGCGGCCCAATGAAGCAAGGACGGCGTCTGTCTAGATGCACCGCCCGCGCCCGCGCCCGCGAACCAACAACAACTCCCGCCCTCGCGTGGCAGGAGCATGTACTGTACACTGTGTTTGTCTGTGTACTGCATGTGTGTGTGTGTACTGTATGTATGGGTGTGTGTGTGTGTGTGTATATGTGTGGACAAGGGCCCAAGAGAGGAGACGAGAATTGGCCTCGCACAAGATGGCGGTGATTCGCGCGCAAACACCTACCTAATCCGGGGTGGCCGCGCTGCATCCTGGGGGACTCGGAGTCGGAAAAAGAAACAAGCAGAGACATTGCCCATCTTTTTCTTTCTTGTAATGGCGGATAATGAATTACCCCAGGTCTGGCTGTGGCGATGGATGCATCGACTCTCGCGTTCACACGATCGCTCCCAACACCACACCACACCACACCCAGCCGATTTTCCCCGACGACTCTCCATTTCCGGCCCGCCAAGCATTCGGTTCCTTTGTGCCGGCCGGCGAGAGCGAGAGCGCGAGCGCACCAGATGGTTCGTCGGCGCCCTCTTGGCGAGCACCATCACACAACACACGCGTACGTCCGTCCATCTGCCTCCTCTCCAGCGGCCCGGCGAGCCCGTCACCACTTGTGTACACCCGCTGCCTCACTTCGTAGCAGCCACTTCGATGATCTGTTCCAAAGTGCCCCAGATAGGTGTAAATATATGTGTGTGTGTGTTATAGCTGCAAAACATCCATGTCGCCATCCATGGCCACACGTTGCCTAGACCCAACGTTTCCCGTTCTGGCCCTTTCGACCCCCCCCCCCCCAGATCGCATTCTCTCTTGAGCCTCCCATCTGCATCTGTCAAGGCCCAAGATGCCGCAAGTAGCCGCCTCCGCCCCCCCAATGCGTCCCGTTGGAACCGCCGCACCGCATCGTACCGTCTGTTCCCCGTACGCCGCCCACCCTGGCTCACTTGGCCCCGAGGCCTGCCTCGCGCCTCATCTCTTCGCGACGCGCATCCGCCTCGCGCTGTTGAGCCCTGCCCGTCTCGAGAGCAGTCTTCTTGCGCCGCTCCTCTTCCTCCTTGACCACGATCCAAACTATGTGCGCGCGCGAGGGAAGCTCGTCAGCAGGCACTCACTCCATCATCTCATACATCTTGTTTTAAATTTATCTTGATCCTCCATTCTCGTGCCTCGAGTACGAAGCGATATGGGTCATGCTGGTGACTAGAGAAGGAGGAAGTTTGGGGGGGGGGGGACAAACTTGGCTTGTCCGACTTGGAGTATTCCTTCAACCGCGTGACAAACTCGTCGAACTCTTGTTCCCGCTCCTCGCGCTTCTCGAGGCTCTTTTTGCGCAGGTCCGGGTTATATCTCGCCCGCAGCTCGTCCTCTGTCGGCGTCAGGTAGTACGTAAAGGCCGGTCCGCCCACACTGACGACGGCGCCGCTGTGTCCGCGCAAGTGTCAAAACGTCAGCCATAAAAGACTTCGGCATGCCCTCCCCAAGCCAGGTCAAAGGACAGCCACTCCGCATGTGTCGAGGGGCAAACATTACCCTATCAGCACCTTGGTCCATAGCCTCCAATTGACCGCCTTCTTGGGAGCCATGGTCGCGGCCGTCACGGGCAATGGCAAGTCTCCTCACGTGGCCGCCTGTGTCGCTACAGCGTCCTCGGGCGCGTCCTGGGCTGGTTTGCTTCTTGTTCCTCTCGACGCAGCGCCCTTCGAGGTGCAAAATGATGCGTCATCGGATGGTGGCGACTCTGTGGGACCATATGGCAGGACGCTTGAGCGCTTGAGGAAAGCGGTGAGTGTCACCCGCTCATGTAAATCCGTACCGACCACCACTTCACTAATTAGCTCGCGCCCAACTTCAATTGAACTTCACTGTTCATTGCTGCCTAGGTGCATGGCTGCAGACAACAACAGTGTCAGCACCCATGCCAGGATCCCGCCTTAAAGGCCCCCCGGTCTGCCTGCTACTCATCAGAACGCCTCAGAGCTCGCCCGCCCTTCCGATGCCTCGTGGGTACCAACCAGCATCCTGTAAACGCCTCGTCAATCATTTCCCATGTTCACCTCTCACCACGAGCCAGCTTTTGCCCGTAGCACATTGTGTCCCACATATGCTTCAGTCAAATCCTTCGTCTTCGTCGAATCCCATGAGAGACGCCAGCCGATCCATGGCGTTCTCGCCTTTGGGCTCCTCGCCTGCATCGACCGCCTCGAGATCGCAATCGTCTTTCCTCTTTTCCTCTGAAATCTGCTCCACGGCCTCCTCACCGTTTTCCTTTGCAAGTTCGTTCCCCTCAATGCCGCTGCCAAGCTCCTCCGGCGCTTCAGAGTCCGACGTTGCTGCAGCCCGCAAGCCTGCAAGACCGACTGCTGATGCAGTTGGGGAGACAGACTTTGTGTCTTCACCATCGGCAGCGAGGACCGGCGAATGCCGAGCCGTCAAGGGAGCGAATTTGTACTGGCTATGCCAGGCAGCCGCCAAACGAGACTTTTTCGGCTCGTGCTTGATACCCGTCGCGATTTGGGCCAAGATCCCATGATAGATCCACGGGAAGCTTATGAGAGGCATCGATTTCGCCTCCAGTTGCTTCGCGGACACAGCATTTCCGGTTTCGCTGGTTTGCCCGCGACGGTGCTCGGCCAGTGCGAGCTTCGTTTCTTGCTCCGTCACCACGTACATGGCCGCGACAAACTGTTCGAGCTTATCTGGATCGCTCCCCGACGCCTCGTAGCACTGCTCACGAAATCGCGCCTTCAAAATATCGAACTCGCGACCGAGGTTTTCCTGTCGCTTGTACTGGTTCTCCGTCTCAGGCGTGGACATGGCCCATGTCGTGTACAGCTCAAACTCGGTCGCGACGTCGTGTTGAGCCAGGACGCGACGGACGCAAATATCGTATTGTGTCTTGATGCTCCTCGCCGTGTCCAGCGTATCTTGGTCGAGCTCGAATCGCGTGATGATGCGCTGGTCGAACGCCGTCTGCCAGTCCGGCCGGAACTCGACCGTCCGCTTGACTACCTTGTCAAAGATGACGCCTAGGGCCTTCTTGGACACGTACGAGTTCCTCTTCTCCATAAAGTGCGGCCACTTCTTCGGCTGCAGCTTTGGGCCAAGCTCGGCTGGCTCGCCGGTTTTTGGATAATCGACGGCTTTGGAGTGCAGATCGGCGAGAAGAAGGCCTAGTCGCAAGTCAGAACGAAGAGTGGGGGAAACAGGTGGGCTGCACTTACATTGCTGCGACTTGGGCCCAGACATATCCGCGTGGGCAAGGTGAGCATGCGCAATCAGGGGCAGGACGTTGTACTTCATGTACTTGACGAAGAAGTCCCGAATGTCGTCTACGTTCACGTCTCTTGACAGCTTTCGCGGCTTGGGCCCGGAGTAGTCCATCGGCGGAAAGTTCCATTCTCCGGGTATCAGAGCGGGATCCCATACGACGAAGAAGTCGTCGCCGTCCAAGTCACCCCCGGACAGCATGTTTGGAACCGGCCGGTCGCCCTTGGAGGAAAACACGACCACGTCCTTCAAGTGGCGGAGCCTGGGATTTTCGACGGCCTGGACCACCCGAATGTCGCCAGGGTGCAGGGAAGGGTTTCGGCCAACGATGCAGACGCCTTTGACAATGATTGTCTGGTCGCAGCGCGTCGGATCCGTAAGCTGCAAGAAGATCTGGGGCAATATCTCGACGTCTTTTTCCGGCGAGCCCTCTGTTGCTTTCGAATGGCCGCGGAGCGTGCCACTTTCGTCGACGCAACCGAGCACAAAGGCACTCTTGGGAACGTGTATTCTTGCCTTTTCCTTGAGGAGCTTCAAAGACCAAGATCTCCACAGCTTCAGAAGATTCATGGTAAAGGGCTCTTGAACGTCCTCGCTCTTGAAGCCCGCCTTGAGCAGATCAGCCAAGATGAGCGTCGACCGGTTCTCGTCAACAAATTTGGTGAGCAGGGCGATGGCAACAGAGTTGTCTTCCATTGCACTCTGGTAATCCCTGATTTGATTCTCCAAAAGATTCAAATAGGCGCTCGTGGGCACCCCAAGGCTCTCCAAGATGGTGATTGTTTGCCGGTTGAGTGTGGCTGACGAAAATCTTGCGCACCGAACAATCTCGAGGCCGTTGGATTTGGCCTTGAACTTTTCTTGCGACTCCCGGACGAGGACCTCCATGCCCTTGGCCTGCGGCCAAACAGTCAAAACACCCTTGCATCCTCCCATGCGGAACTGAAACGCCGTCGGCTCGTCGAGCACGTCCAGATCCATCTCTTGAATGATGAAGCTGGCGAGGAACTGGGAGACGATGCCGACACCGTCGGTGAAGCAGTAGCCGTCTCTCTCAATGTCGGGGATGCGCTGCATCGTAGGCCGGCAGATGCTGCGAATCTCTCTCGTCGTCGAGAAGCATTGCCCCAGTCGGGCCGCGTATTTGGCGACGACCCTGATGTGGTTGAGGTCCCCCATCCAACGCCGGATATCCTCGCACGAAACGTGCTCGGTCGGGCAGAAGAAGTAGGCGCCGCATTGCCGGAGCTGCGAGCTGCCAAAGCCGAGGAACTCGTACACGCGATCGCCGATGCGGATGCCTTTGTAGAGGGCTCGAAGCACGCGTTTCCAGACCTGGTCATTCTGCAGCTTGTTACTAGCTAGCCGGGCCTGTTCGACCTCTTCGGTAAACTGAACACGTAAGAAACGATCCTGCATGTGGCTGTACTTGCGTACGACCCTGTTGGACGTTTCAACGGTCGGCGAGTTGAAGCGTACGGTAGTTGGCGTGACGACGGCCTTTTGTACGAGGGTGCAGTAGTAGGGGGTCTTTGTGTTGGGCACGTAAGACTCGGCATCCAAGTTGGTGAAGAGCTGCATCGGGTCAAAGAGCGGTTCGTTTTGGTCGGCTAGGTACTCGAGGCGGCGAGTGGCGTCAAAGGGTTTAAGGGCAGCGAGCGTTTGGAGAAACTCGGCCGTGACGGTGTGTTCGTTGAGGATGCCCCGAGAGACGCAAACTTCGAGTTGATATCGCACGTTGAAGGGCAAATGTATGATGGAAGGCGCAGCCATTTGTAGCAGGGCCGAGGCCTGACCCTTGGCCATGGAAGGCGGATGGTCCAAGTAGTCCCACATGGTTTTGCCGCCCCTCTGGAACTGGAAGTCGCCGCAGTTCACCACTGTCACGTTGACATCTTCCAGTGCCATGCGCAGCTGCTGGATGCCTTTGTTCTCGTGGTTGGGGTTGCCTGCGAGCACAAGACGGAACGTGGTCCAACGGCCAATCTCGACGTACTCCGAATCGTCGACAATGTTGTGGATAGCGACGGGATAGTTCATTGGCATTTCCAGGTCCTCGGCTATGTCCGTCGCCCGAAACCAGGTGTCTCTGTCGCTCCAGGTCTGAGGATTGTTCGCAAGGGTGATGTCGATGTCGTTGGTCCTCCAAAAGTATTGAGGGGGCCGCGAGAGGGGAAGCACCCAGACAACACTCTCGTCGGCGGAGGTGGTCTGGTACACGTTTTTGATGGTGGATATGTCGATTTTGACACAAAACTGTCTCGTGTTGGTCCAGTACGGCGTCTTTGCGGGAACAGAAAAGTAGACAGTGACGCGCTTGTACTTGACGTCAAGCTCCAATCTCATTCTTCTAGGTGCAGACGACGCCGTGATAGACCTCATGATTGTCATTGCCGTCGGCCCAACCATGTCTCCAAAGTCGAGCTGTCGAAGGCTTTCCGTCATTTTGCAAGGATACTCGCGTCGATGCGAGTCTTTGTTGACGCGCCACCGCGCAGATGCGGCAGTGGAGAGGAGTGCCACAGTGATTGTGAGTCCGCGAGGGAAATTGCGTTTGTTGGGGTGCTCCCTGCGAACCGTACCGGCAGACCAGAAATCAAGTTTTGGTGGGGGTTCAAAGCGAATCTTGGCCGACACGGGACCTCGCCCTTGGTCTTGGGCAGAGATTTCCATCCAGGAAATGTTGCCGTACGACGAGAACATGGCCCATAAATGCTCTGAAGTTACGCCGAGGGGCAGGCCATCGAGCTTGACCGTCAACTCGGACCACGTCCGCCAGCGAACGCGAAGCGACTGCGGTGACTTTGCTGGCATCGTGTGCCGTTTGGCGAGAGTGTGATTCGGCCGGGCAGGGGACTGGTTCGACCGGGCAGGCGAGCTTTCGGGTCTGGCAGGAGTGCTTTTGGGCCTGGGCGGAACCGCGGGCGCTGGGCTGCCGTCCTGGGAAGAGGCCGGCTTGACTTGTGCCGGGCTCCTCACCTGGTGCGGTGTGCCGGGCGGGCGAGGGGACTGTTTCTTGGACATGGTGGCATCCGAGTATTTGGTCTCTCAGTCTTGTCGTCTTCTCCCCTGCCTTTGTTTGTTGCTTGAGAGGTCAAAGAGAGAGAGAGGTGAGGTAGGCGACGAATGTGAGAGGGTAGAGAAATGGCACGACGTGTTGCTGGCGCGGGGCGTCTGCTCATGGCGATTCTAAAGTCAGCGCTCCCGGTCCATGGTTGGTGATCCAAGGGCGCTGCGCCGATGGCAGGTTAACGCACTTGATAAAGAGGGGCCAGACGTGTCAGGCGTGGTTAGCGACAGGTCGTCCCGGCCGTCTGGTAGTTTGCGGTGCGAGGCAAAGCGGAAGCGACGGATGGCGAAGATGAGTTCAGCACGGCTAAGCAGGCGGCATGATTTGACTTTGGCCTTGATGGTGACCAGGAGCGAGCAAAGAATTGGATAGGAAAAAAGTAGAAAGGGGGAGAAACAAAAAGGCGAGATCAAGTGCAGCACCGACCAGCAGTCAAGGTGTGCAGTGCAGTTGGCGGGCAGCTGGCGTGCAGCGTCGCGCGGAGGCAAAAGGTTCCGAGGCGAGCTCTCGACGATGGTGAAAAGGTGTTGCGCTAATGGCAAAATGGGTGCGCCAGGTAAGGTAGGTAGCAAGCAAGCACTGCCAAGGCGGTGAGCCGGGGTTGACGAGGCAAAAGGAGAGGAGAGCCGGGAAAGCAGTCGGGAAGGCAGTCGGTGATGGGACGGAAGCAGGCGCGACGCGTGCACCTGTCCGTCAGTCTCGACTCCGTCTTGTCCGCGAGCCCGCGTCTCACGGCCCACGCTTTGTCTTTGGGCTGCATTGTCCAACTCTTTTGCTTGTTGGCGTGGCGACGAGCACTTCGGCGCTGCTTGTGACGGGACGCAGCAGTCTCTCTCTCGCCATGTACGTGACGGCACCCACACACAAAGGCCACAAAGGCGCGTGTAAACGAGAACCGTCACGTTTGCCGTAGGCTGCACATAGCTCGACATCAAAATACCTCTGATGATGGACACAGCTTATTCAGGCATGAACGAGGACAGTGCAGTACAGTGTCCGTTCAGTGCCCGTCCCTTGCCGTTGGCTACGCACGCCGCACCCCTGGCCATTTTGGACGGGAGTGGATGAGTGGCATTAGGTATTGTTAGTGCAGTACCCGTTGGGCATCTATCGTGCATGCAGCAATACCCAAGCATAGGGACAGAAGCAGACAGCAGGAGAGAGCGCCATCGTCGTCTTACTGTGTAGTGCATTCTGCCCTGCACTGTGTAGGATAGTTCTTGGCGGTGGTATATCCGTACAAGTATAAAGTATCTTTTGTCCAGGTGTGCGTAGGTACTACTTTAAGGTACAGTATGTAAGTTATCACAAATCCAAAGACGTCAGAGCCCAACCAGATACTGAATTAAATAATTAGATGGCAGCAACCTTTTCCGGACGATGGATCAACTGGGAAATCTCAACAAGATGCCCGATTTGCTCACTCCATTGTCGCGCTGCATGCCAGCAAGCCAGCTTGCCAGGGATGGATCCGCCCCGAGAATAGACTAGCGCTAATTAGTCGCGTCAACAGGAGAAAAAGAGGGGCGCCCAATGACCTCAGCCTACGGGGCAAATTTTAATCTACCACCCATGATCCTGCTCCAAAAGGCCACCGAAGCTCCAGTCACTCGGCCGAGGCACGCGACCCCTTCCCTCGTCCTGCCCTCGATCCGGGCTCTGCCACCCCGTCTACCCCGTACGCGTCCGGCTTTGCTGCCTTGCTCGACTCACGCATCCTCGTTTCCGCCTCCGTCTCGAGTCCACGGCAGCTTTTGCGCCCTCGCCCTGCCGCTGATTCCGAGCCATCGTCATTCGCGTCGACCGGACCCTGCCTCACCCTGCCCGCGTCACGACCGGGAGAGGACGCGAAAAAAAGAAAAGAAAACCGGTCGCTTCCGAAAAAAGGATATCAAGCACCGCAAGACGAAGAAGGAGAGGAAGAAAAGGCTTCTCGACGAAGTGCATCCACCGTCATCATGGTCTACGTCCGCCAGCGCCATCTCCCGGCGCTCAAGGAATACAAGTATTCTTCCGTCGACCGCTCGCTCGTGTCCAAGTACATCCTCAAGCCCTTTTACACAAAGTTTGTCATAAGATGCTTCCCCATGAGCATGGCGCCCAACCTCATCACCCTCACCGGCTTCATGTTTGTCGTCATCAACGTCCTTACCCTGCTCTGGTATAACCCCACCCTCGACCAGGACTGTCCTCCCTGGGTTTACTACAGCTGGGCTGTCGGTCTCTTCCTTTACCAGACGTTTGATGCTGTCGACGGCACCCAGGCGTGAGTTTTGATCCGCCTTCTTGCCTCTGACCGCCTCAAGCTAATCCCTTGTTTCTCTTGTCCGCAGACGGCGCACCAGGCAATCTGGCCCCCTCGGCGAGCTGTTCGATCACGGTGTCGACGCCCTCAACACCTGCCTCGAGGTTCTCCTTTTTGCCGCCTCGCAAAACCTCGGCCAGGGCTGGAAGACGGTTGCGACTCTCTTCGCGTGTGCGTTCCCTCCAATTCTCCCTCGTGGCCGAACTGGGAGACTAACAGCGCAATCCCTCCCTCCACAGCCCTTTTTACCTTCTACGTCCAGACGTGGGACGAGTACCACACCAAGACCCTCACCCTCGGCATTGTCAACGGCCCCGTCGAAGGCATCCTGCTCCTCGCTAGCGTCTACGCCCTGACGGGTTACCTTGGCGGTGCACACGTCTGGCAGCGAAGCATGCTGGCAACCCTCGGCATCCCGCAGTCCATCGGCATCCCCGACGTGCTCTACCGGCTCTCCTTCACCGAGTGGTACATGGTCCAGGGCGCCATCGTCATCGTCATCAACACTGTCGAGACGTCGTTCAACGTGACGCGCGCACGCCGCGCCCGCGGCGATCGCACTCGCGGTGCTCTCCTCGGACTTGTACCCTTCTTCGCCATTTGGACCCTCATCCTCGCGTACCTCGCCCTGCAGCCCAATATTCTGCACAACCACCTGGTTCCCTTTATCTTCTTTGCCGGTATTGTCAACGCCTACAGCGTCGGGCAGATGATCACGGCCCACCTCGTCAAGATGCGCTTCCCCTACTGGAACGTGATTGGACTGCCCCTCGCCTTTGGCGTCATCGACTCGCTCGGCCCCTTTTTGCAGCGCCAGATTGGCTTCGGCTGGCCCAGTGCACTCGGCGACGGTGTATACCAGGTCTCGTTTCTCTTCATGATGCTGGGCGCCGCGCTGGGCGTGTACGGCAGCTTCGTCGTCGACGTCATCGTCACCATTTGCGACTACCTTGACATCTACTGCCTGACCATCAAGCACCCTTATGTCGAGGGAGGTGATCTTTCCAGCGGCAAGACCAAGAACTTCTGAGACCAGGCACGCCAAAGACAATCCACGACGACAAGGACGACAGGGTATGTATACTATATGCTGAGCGTCGGCATGAGAATGTGAGCCGACGCGTGTGTTGCTTGAATTGAGCCGACGCAGAAAACGCTCGAGACTTCCAAGAGGTGTATTTTAGGGAGGAGTAATGCGTGCGGGTTTTACATGTTGAAGGGCGAGGGTACTTGTGCCTCGAGACGCAGCACAGCGCGCCCCGAGTGGGCCAAGTCAAAGGGAGAAAGAGGGGGAGGGTGCTGCAACGGGGACAAGGCGCATGAACACGGAATCTACAGCTACGTAATCTGCATGAAATCTTGGTGAGAAAGGGGGCTTCAAGTCAGCGCTGGGTCCGGGTCGACGAGACTCCCTAGGGAGCAGTCGGCGGCCTGGACGGAGTGGACTTGCTCCCCGTCTTGGCCTTGGGGGCGAGAGGGGTGTCGCGGCACAGGATCTGCTTGATATTGGGACATGCTTGTTTGGGGGATTCGATTATACGTTTCCGTGCCACGTGTCTCGGGTCATGGGTGGCATGTTTTTTGCCCCCCTGGGGGAAGAGAATCGGTCGGGCATCTTAGCGCGCGCCGGGACAGATGCCGTCCGTTGACCAGAAATGGCAGCGGCACGTCCCGCCCCGGATTCCGTGGGCAGGCTTGCCGGCGCTTTCTATAAATAGGTAGGTGGGCAGAGGCCTCCTTTGTTTTATGAACGGTCCCTTTCGACTGCTATGTTACTCTGCCATGCAGCGCCGTAGGCTAAGTACTGTGGTTATGAATCCAAAGCAGGAAAGAAAGCTAGCAGGCTACCGTCTTCCCAAAGAAGCAAATCAGATGTCCAAAAGGAAAAAAATCATGTCAACCCATTCCCCACCTTACGCCATGCGAACCAAGCGACGCTCTCGTCTGCCAAACACGGTCTTCCATGGCTTGTAGTATCAAGAAAATCAGTCCTCACGGCGTCGAGATGGACTGCTCCGCGGGCCCTCGAATCCCCTCTCCTGCCTTTGATTTCCCTCCTTTTCACCTCCTTTCGAGGTCATTGCAAGCCTTCACAATCATAACAAGTCGTCGGAGCCGCTGGCGACGCTCTGCTCGATGGCGTGCAGGATGGTGCTCTCGGGAAAGACGGGTTCCTGGCCGTCACAGCGCGCCAGATTCCTGAGACGCTCGCTGACGTCGCCCACGTCGACGAGGCCTCGCCTGTAGAGGTCGTGGGAGATGATAAAGTCCCAGGTGGCGCCGACGGCCAGCAGTCGCTCGCCGTTGTCCGCGGTGACAACTCGGTGGGCGGGGCTCCTGCTGGGATGGCCCTGCAGGACGCTCGAGTAAAACTCCTGCGGTGTGTACCGGAGGGGCCCGGCAACGGCGGGGGGGGAGGGGGAGAGGGAGCTGTTGCGGCGGTTGCCAAGGGCCGAGGTGGCGCGCAGGATCTCGTTTTCGGTGGCAATCTTTTCCAGGTCGCGCTTGAGGCGGTCGTTTTCGTCCGACGACTTTTGCTGGGCGGCCTCGAGCGTGGCGAGCTTAGCCTCGAGATCCTTGACATGCTTCTCCTTTCTCTCGCGGAAAGCGCGTTGGCTGCAGAGGTGGTGAGCGCTTTGACCAGAGATTGTGGACATGAAGGAGGACGTACGCGGCGCGGTTCTGGGCTTTCCTCCTAGACTGGGCGGGGGTCATGAAGTCGTCGTCGTCGCTCCCTCTCTGCAGGGCGGGCATCTCGTCGAAGCCCTGGGCGGCATCGAGACCCGGGATGCGACCATTGGTGCTGCTGGTGGCCGGGGGAGGCAGCTGGGGCCGTGGGTGGCCAAACGCGGCGGCGCTGGAGTTGCTGGGGGGTGGAGGGGTGGGCGAATCGGCAAAGGATGGGTTGTGATGCTGCTGCTGCTGGGGATGGTGAGGATGAGGGTGATGGTGGGCAGGATTGGCGTAGCCCGGGGCAAAGTCGTATGCCTGATAGTGCTCGGCGGCGGCGGCGGCGGCGGCGGCGTCAAAGGCGTCGTGCTTGTCGAAGCGGAGGGTCAGCAGGGGCTGTTTCTTGATGCCCGGATGAGGAACAGGGCTTGGTCGTTGTTGGGAGGAACATGGCCAAGATATCTGCGAGGTCACGGGAGGGGAAACGCAGTGGAAGGCGAGGAGCGGGGAGCCGGGAGCCCATGATGCGGTCAATTGGTCATGCTCAGGTAATGCGTCTGCACCCAGCCATCCGAGAGCCGGGCAGGGTCTGACCGGGACGAGGAAGAAGCAGGGGGGAAAAGGAAACATGACAAAGGTTGACGACAAGAAAAGGGGGTTCTTGGGCACTGACAGGCGCAGAAGTGGTGCTGCCAAAGTCATCCGACGGCACGGCCGAGGGCTCCAGGCTGTTAATGGGCACAAAGGCCTGGAACGACTGGGCGCCGGGGAAGTGATGGTGGTATTGGCCGGTAAAGTCCATGGCGGCGGCGGCGGCGAGAGGGCGAGGCCAGGAGAGCGGCGTCGATGGTTGTCTGAGGCTATCCAGCCTGTTGAGGGAGGTGAGATGGGCCTCGGAGGCGACACAGGATCGGGGACATGACGTTAGCGGGCCATGGCCTGTACTTTGGGCGGTACCTCGCTGTAGCCCGGGCTTCCGTCACTGACGTCTCTTGCTCTTCCCACCTTACTTAAGTAAGTAGGCGAGTTTACAGTGCTCTCCCCATCTCCCTGTCCTGTCTTCCTGTCGCTGCGTCTACACGTACCGTACAGTACCTACCTACCTTACCTGGGTATGTACCTTAACCTACCTGCCTACCTAGGTACCTACCTAGGTGGATAAGGTAGGTAGGTACAGTAGGTAGCTTTGTGCATCTCGAGGGGCAATCCGGTATATCCATCCGTCCCGCCGTGCAGATCCAATGCAAGCCCCCAGAGACATGGCTCGCAGATGCCATGCCCATCATCGGCGCGCCTCGTCAAGCCACTGCTCAAGCCGCAAGACACGGGGTGAGGACTTGACCGCCTCCCGGCGCTGCGCGGCCCCGTCCTGTCGTACCTACACGCGACAATGCACACAGTCATCCATGCGCATCCATGCTCATCCATGCTCATCCATGCGCATCCATTCTCGGCACGGGTCAGGACATATACTAATGTGGCTGGCCATCCAGGTTGCCTCACCATGATGGGCTCTCCCTGCCGCCTGGGGGCCGAGGTTCCCGAATCGCGATTCACTCGCCTTGTTTCCCCGTCGCCCTTTCGGCCGAGCAGGGTCTAGGGTAGTATCATCGGCAACGTTTACCACCCACCCTGTAGATAGTCAGACTAGACGAGGAAAAAGAAAAGGCGCGTGGCCAACGTTGGCTTTCCCGGCGCAACCTAAATCGGACGACAGCCCTGGGCCGTCCCGAGTCCCGATCCCAGCCGAGCGTCTGCCGAGATGGTGGACAGATGGTGGACCCCGGATCCAACGAGGACCGTACCGAGGCCGGCCTGGGCCTGCCTTGGCCTGCCACCATGTTATATCCATACCCTGCCGTGACCAACAAGGCCTCTCTCTACTTCCTACTTTCGTGGACTCATATGTCATCTACGCGCCATTTCCTCCCTCCGCAGTGGCCGGCAAGCTCACGGCCCAGGCTTCCAATCCCAAACTCCCAAAAGACAATTTGGTTTCATCTCGGAGCTTCACCCTGCAAGTCCTCCATTCGAGCACACCTGTCTTACGCAACCCTCCCTCGTGCAGCCCCCCCCCTCTGGACGCGCCTTTGCTCAGGGAAGCAGTCGCTTGGGCGTGCGGGGATAGTAGCTCGCCAGGTGCACGCTCGGAAGGTTGAGATACCACGCCACCACGCGGTCCAGCCCGATGCCACCTCCGCCGTGCGGCGGCACGCCCACGCTCCTGAACACGTCGACGTACTCCTTGATGCCCGGGCTGGCCGGGTCGACGCCCTTTTTGCGGATCCGCGCCTCCAGCACCCGCGCGTCGTGGATGCGTTGCCCGCCCGACAGAATCTCCTGCCCGCGCATGAAAAAGTCAAAGGCGTTGGTCACCTTTGTATTGCCCGGGTCCTCGAGCGCGTAAAACGGCCGCGCGCCCTCGGGGAACTTGTCGAGCACATAAAAGTCGGTCCCGTACTTTTGGCGTATCAGGGCCCCGAGCGCCTTTTCCTGCGGCGTCGACATGTCCTCGTCGTCGCTCACGTTGCGGTACGCCTCGGGGCCTTCAGCGCGCAAGAGAGCCTGGCCCTCGGCAAAGGTCAGGCGCACCTCCTTGCCGGGCGCCGGCAGCAGAAACTCCTCCGAAGGATACACGGCGCGGATCAAGGCAACCTGATGGGCGCAGCGCTCGGCGAGGCCGCGGAAGATGTAAAGCAGCACGCCCTCCAGCATCTCGAGCACCTCGTGGTAGCTGTCCTCGATTTCCATTTCCAAGTCAAGCCCGGTAAACTATCAACCTCGGTCAGTGCCCTGTAAAATCTGCGTCCTTGTCCGCTCACCTCAGTCATATGTCGGGGTGTGTTGGAGTTTTCGGCGCGAAAGACGGGCCCGATGCAGTACACGCGCTTGCGCCCACCCGCAATCTCAATCTGCTTGTAAAACTGCGGCGATTGCGCCAGGTAGGCGCTCTTGTCAAAATACGGCATGGCAAAAACGTTGGACCCGCCCTCGGAGGCGGCGCCGATGAGGCACGGCGGCTCGAACTGGTTGAAGCCCTTGGAGTCGAGATACTCGGCAAAGAGCTTGCGCGTCGCCATGCGAACATCGGCAATGGCCTGCTGCACGGGGGCGCGCTTGTGCATGGCCGGGTTGTTGAGGTGGGTGGCCATGCTGGCGCTGGGCATGTTGTCCAGGCTGGCCGCCTCGACGCCTTTCCGGGCCTCGTCGACGGCGTCCTGGCCGGCGTCGTCGTCGTCAAAGTTGGTGACGGCCCTGTTTGCGACGGCGAGGCCCATGCCCAGGACCTCGGGCCCGGCGGCGATGACGTAGCACTTTGTGATGTGCAGCTCGAAGTTGGAAACGCGCACGCTCTTGACGGGCTCGAGGGGCTTCTCGACGCGGGCCTCGACCTGCACGTAGCTCTCGAGGTTGAGGCCGCCGATCCACTTGACCATGGGCCGGCTGACGGGCTGTCCGTCGGGACTGGCCGCGATGACGCCCTGGATGGCCCAGTTCCTCTCCTCGCGCAGCTCCACAAAGGCCATCTTGGCGCCCTGCATGCGCGAGTTTTGAATCCATCCCCGCACTCTGACCGTTTTGCCAATGTGCTCGTCACCAATGTTCCTGAGGTGAAGTCGCTCGGCGGCGACATTGGTCTTGGGCAACGCGTCGCCGTAGTTGTCCTTGGCCAGGTCCTCGGTGTTGCCGGCAGCCGCCTTTGCCGCCGCCTGGCTGGCCTGGTGCTCGGCAGCGCGGCGAGCCTTTTCGGCCTCCTTCTTTGCCTTGGCCTCGGCCTTCTTCAGTGCCTTCTTGGACGGCCCGGCCTCGCCTCCTTCGGCGTCCGAGGCCGCGGCCTGCGAGGGGGGTGGCGTGGCCTTGTCAGCCATGGCGTCTTCGGTTCGCTCTTGGTGTCTATCACGGGCAGCGAGGACAGATGCTCGAGGGAGCCAAGCGTGTCGGAACGCAGCGAGGGGTGAATCGAAGACGATGGGGTGTAGTGCAGCCCTGTCGGTTGGGATACGGATTGGGGGGAGCTTTGTGGGGGAAGGAATGACTCAAATTTCTACTCGAGAGGCAGCCGGTGATGGCGGGGCACCGGTACATGTTGCCCGTACCCCGCCATGACGCTCTTCTCTCTTCTTCATACTGCGAAGACTGGAACCCGACGCAATTCGCTTCCGGCAATTCTGCATTATCCATGTCAAACACGCAAGAGCTAGTGTATCTAGTAGCAGTCCGTGTCCACTGACTCGGCTGGACCAGCAAATGGAAGCTCCATGGTCCCTCCTCCAACTCCAGACCTCCCAACGCCGCTTCCTTCCAAGCTCTGCTGTTCTCCCTCTCCTCTGAGCTCAAGAGCGCATCGACCGGAATTATTACCTCGTCTCATGATACAGGAGGCGCCCAGAGCCGACGCGCTTCATCTTCGTCGTCAACTTCATCCATTACCCGCCCTGCTCAAAGCGAGCGTGGGCGCACTTCGCGCCGAGGCCCAGCCGCGCGCGGCTCCTAACCAAAATGCAGAGGCTCGGCCTTCTCGCAGGTGAACAGGTTGATGTGGTGGTCGCCGCGAGCCGCGCACGCCAGCATCGGGCGGTGAGGATGGAACGCCGTGGCTGAAATTGGCCCTCCGCGGTTCTGCTGCAGGAAGCTCGAATACGGCTCAAGGCGGGACAGTTCGTTCCCATCCAGGTTGAAAACCTTGACCGAGTGTTGCGACGTGCCGCTGCTCACTTGTCAGTTTCACGGCGCGGGCCCTTCTGACGGCGAATGGCGTCGACTTACACGGCGAATACCGGCAGATGCTCATGCGTGCACATTGTCCGCAGCGTGTCTCGTGTGGCCTGAATGGCGTGCAACGGCCGGTCCATCCTAATGTCCCACACCTTGACTTTGCCGTTGCGACTGGCGCTGAGCAGCTCTCTCTGCCCGCCGCGCTGCATGTGCACGCTCTTGATCCATTGCCGGTCCGATTCATCCTTCCATTTCCGGACCATGGAGTCCTGCGGCCGATTTCTCATGTCAAACACCCGCACAGCTCCGTCCCCGAAGCCTGCGACGAAGATATTGCCCGTCATCTGGTCCGACGTGAGGGACGTCACGCACGACCCAGACCTGGCTGGGATGTCCATGATGCACGTTTCGTGCGCGGCATACCACACCCGGATGACCCTCACATCGCCTGCCACCAGGACACGGCCCGTGACTTGCTGCCAGTCAAACACCATGCCCGAGTTGACGTTGCTCGGTACCATGTGCGTCAGAGCTCTCCACGACGTCGCGAGCTCGATCGTCGTGTCAGAGTCGTAGTTGCGGTAAACGCGAATCACGCCGTCCGAAGACCCCGTCAGCAAGAAGGCTTGGTCGTCTTCGTTGATGAACTTCATGTCACTAATCTTGGACCCCTCGGGATTTCCGTTGCAAAACCTGCTCAGGCGGCCTTGCTTCTTCCAGTCCCAGACATAGACAGTGTTGCCGTCGTCTGAAACCGCTAGGTGGTCCTCGTACTGATGAAACGTCATCTTGGCTGGCTGAGCGCCGTTGTTGACGATCCCGAGCTGGTTATTCCACTTGTGGCTGCCAGCAAGCTGCTTCAGCGGCTGCGTCTCCCGGAGCAGGGTTTCGTTTCGCGCTCTTCGCCACAGGCGTTCGTTGTATTCGGTGCTACCTGGTTCGTCCGCCTCGCTGGCCTTCATCTGCGGCTCGCGAAAGTACTCGATGGACCACTCGAGAAACCCGCTCTTGAGGGGCAGGGTCGGCAGTTTTGCGAGGTCCCGTTCCTCGTACGCCCCGGAGAGAGGCTCGCGCGCAACGTTGTACGACGCCAGGGCGTGGGATTGGTCGTTTTGTTCTGGGGGCGCAGACATCTGATCCGGTGGTACCTTGGCTGAGGGAGATCGGGGCGGCCTGGGGCTGGAGGGGGTGCCCGTGCTTGACCTGTCCTCGTTCCCAATAAACGACGGGAAGAGCAGGCTCGCGGTCCTCCGCAACAGGCCCGGGGAAGACACTGGAGGTGTGCTTGGCACGCCTCTGAGCGAGTTTCTCTGCATCGCACTGGCAGCCTGCCTCTGTGCTGCCTTGTTTGCCCGTCGCTGAATGTCTAGCATGATGGTCTGGGCCGGCTCGCCGATGCTCGAATTGAGGAGCGCATTGTGCACGTAGTCGACAATGATGGTCGCCTCGCGTTGCACCTCCGGATGGGGATCCACACTCAGTATCAGGGCGTGCTTCCAGCATGCCATGTACACGGTGTTGTGGGACAAGCCATGTGCCGTGACCTTGATGGTGCCATCCCTGTTCCTGTTTTCTGGCCTCGCGTAGTGAAGTCCCATTTTGTGGTCCTGTCCGTCGTCCTGGGGTGGAAACCAGAGATAATCCTTCTCCTCTTGAAGCTGTTCAAACGCCGCGACCATGAATTTGTTCTCGAAGCGAGTGATGAAGTGCGACAAGAAGACCAGAAACTCTTTGCGAACCATGGGGCTGCCATCCGTGCCCATGTCCAAGATCGTCCAGGCTATTGATTCCTCGATCCGGGCAACCTCTTCCGTCAGATCGGGAATGCCCAGAAACGTCGTCATGGCGTGTATCATGGCGGCTCGAACCTCACAACACGGGTCCCGTATCAGGTACGCCAGCTTCACGTAGGCATTCTCTCGAATGCCGCGCCATTTGGGCTCGGGAAGGCCCTGCCAAAGCTGGCTGATGCATAGGCATGCCCACTGTCGCAAGAGCGGGTTGTTTGCATTTTGCAGGTGAGCCAGGCAGTAGGACATGATGTCGGTCTGGTTGCAGACCATTTGGCCGTTCTTGTAGTCCTTGCAGAGCATTGCAAGGATGAATGCACACATGGCCTTGTGCTCGTCGCTATCAACCACCGGCAGCCCCTCGGATGGTTTGAGAATCTGGGCAAAGTAGCTGTATCCGCTGTCTTTGATGAGGTCCTGTTGGCAGGAAATGTCCACGGCGATGAGCCTGGCCCATATGAAGACCATGACGGGCTTCAGCTCCGCCGCCGCAGACTGCAGCAACTTGAGAACGTAGGGGAAAATTCCTATGCTGAGAGCCAGCTGAACAGACCACGGCCCGAGATCCAGGAATCTCCCGAGCAGGATGAGCGCTCGAACCCTGTGCTGCTGGCTCAGCAGCACCTGAAGCACGACGGGCAGCTGGTCGGGCGGCTTCTGCGCCATGGCGTCCCCCCGGGTGAGATAGACATCGAACGCCGTCAACTGCTCGGTGAAGAAGGTCGAGTTCTGATACTCGTACTCGACGCCTTCGCTCTCCTTCTTCCCTAGCATCGGAAGCTGCGCCAGTGCCATGTCCACTGCCAGGTCCCATGTCTCCCAGAGGGGATGTTGATGGGTGTCGGGCAGAGCAGGGTAGGATTGCGGGTGGCAGCCGTACACGGTCATGACGCGCTGGGCTAGAAGAAAGTTGCGAAATAGGGCAGCGACCATGAGGTCTTGGCGGAAGAATTTGCGGAAGAGATCCCGAGGGAGGGTTGTCCATGCAATGCTGTCGGTGATGGCCGTGAAGATCCAGTTCAGCTCACCGAGAGGAGTCCGCCTCTCCTGAAGTCGACCAGGCAGCTGCTTGGCACGTTCCGGCGTGAGATTGGTCTTCAGTGGGTTCTGGAGGACGAAGAACCAGAGCGCCATCTCGATCGGGGTGGTGAGGCAGGCGGTGAAGAGATCGGCCGGCAGGAGAGGATTTGTAGGGAGATTCTCCTTCACCGCACAAGCAGCCAGGTGAATGTAGGGCCGGAAGCTGGTCTTTTCGTAGTGAGGATCTCGCTCGGCCGCCTCCACCTCTTCCTCCTCATGCTTTTCGACGAAGCGATGATAGTTGTTGAGGATGTTGCCGGCCTCAGAGCAGTCCCAGACGAAGATGGTGGGTGCCTGCAGCCAATGCTGCAAATCGTACAGGCTGACGGGGATATACTGCGTATACGTCTTGTTGAAGACCCAGATCTCGCCCGAGGCCGTTGGCTTGGGCACGCCATGGCCGTTGTAGTGCAGCAGAACGCGCTCGTCCTTGGCGTTGCGGCGCAAAGACACGCAGAACTTTTTCGTTTCCTCGACAGACGGGTCCAGGTACTGCTTGTAGCGGGCCCTGATGGCCAGCGTCTCGTACTGGGCCTGGAGAGCCTTGCCAATGTTCTCGAGTGCTTTCTGGATGGGGGGGATGGTAGGGTCAGTCCAGGCCTCGAGCTTGGCGCCGGGCGTCGTCTTGAGCTGATCGGGCGGCTCGACGCCGATGTTCAGACAGACTGCCAGTGCGGCGGAGACGGTCTTGAGCCTGTCTCTCTGGCGCCAGTCCTGGAGGTCGTACTCGAGGGGCTTTGGCTTGCCAGTCGTCTCGTGGCGCTTGTCGGTGAAATACATGTACCAATTCTGGGAGGAGAAGTCAGCACGTTTTTTCTCCTCCCACAGTCGCGCCCAGCTCTCGAGCTGCTCCCACATGAGCTGTTCCTAAGACTTCATGTCGGACGAGCAGCTGCTAGAATCCGAGCGTAGCAGTCGGAGAAGGGAGGAAGAGGCGTTTGCCGCCACGAGCACAGAGCCGATTTGTTGGACCACCGGCCCGGCACGCGACCCCTCCTTCCCAGCCTCGATGTCGGCAACCGGTGTTGACGGGCCAACGCCCATGTCGCGGGATACACAAAGCACATGGTCCGGGGGAAGCGGAAGTAGAGAAAAGGCGCAACGTACGTTTACGAGCTGAGATATGATGTGTTCCGACTGGTAATGGTCCTCGAAGCCGTGCCTAGCTCCCCATTCGCGAATCTCGTCATCGGGTTCCGAATCGTCGGCTTGGCGGGGTGCGTAGTCGCTCTTGGATCGGTGCAGCTGGGGTTTGACTGGCCGCCTTGGTATCTCAGTCTCCAGGTCATCCCGGACCTCGGCCGGAGCCGGGACTCCGTTCTCCCTGCCGGGAGCGCTGAATGGCCGCCTGTCGCCGCTGTTGGAGGAGGCGTCGCGGTCGGGACTGCTGTCGCCCTGAGCCCTGAACCTCGACGTCTCCCCGTTGGTGGTGGGGTTGGAGGGCAGCGAGCCGTGCATGTCGGATCGCAGCGTCATCTCTGCAGGCTTTCCATGGGCCGCGCGCCGATGGTCGTGGGGCCGCGGGTGCGACGAAGGGCCGTGGTGCTGAAGACGCGATTGCGTCGACGAGGCGGCGGCGAGCCGGGGCTGGTGTGGGGATGAGTGCGGTGATTGAGTTGGCTGGGTCAATATGACAGTCATGGTCTCGTCTCGGGTCTCGACAATGATGTGCTCGAGAGGCACCGGCCCATGGTACACGACACAGCCTGAGTATTGGCATCCACGATGGGGGATGGCGGTTGGAAATGGATTGCTGCGTCCATCTGACGGAGGTGCGGCGGTGGGCGGAGCACTTGCCTTGTTAGCCTGCCAGCTGGCAGGCGGACCAAGGTGGGCAGGCGTGCGCTGTAGACGGTACGTCGTGCTTTGGCTGCACGTGCGGCGGCGCCGCAGCGCAACAGGGGCCGCCTTTGTCTCTGATACAAACCGCGGTCCAAATTACGGAGTATGGAGGTTGACGATGCCTGCCTTGTCCGATAACCTTGGCTGACCAATATCGTCATGGGCAGAGAGCGAGCGAGGCGTGGCGTCGGCCCTCCAATGCCTTTACTCTGGGAACTTTGAGCTTGACGCTTGCAAAGTCCCAGATGCTTGATCGATAGGCAATGTCTAAATTCCACCTTGAGTGCACAACAGCTCTCTCTCTCTACCTCGAACGTGTGCACTGTACTGTAGCGTAGGCACTGACTTCCCCAGCCACAGCAACGATTTTTACTTTTTGTTCGGCACACTAGCAGAAAGGACGATGAAGGTGGTGTGGTGGCTTGAGGCTGACCTCCTGTCCCAGTCGACGCAGCGTTGAGTCACACCGAGCCAAACACCACTGCTGCCGCTGCCTCGGTTCATCAACAGCTGATGCAGGTGCATCTCCGTCGGCATGGCCAACCACAGCCAACCGTCAACAGCCGTTGCGTTGCACTGTGACCAGGACACGCCGCGCCAGCCTCGACGCAGTCGCAACGTATCAGCTCCCCGGGCTCCGGACCCCAAAAGTCGAGCAACCGCCCGCCAGAGGTGTGAGTGGCAGCGGGCGACAAAGGACTCAGTACAGCAGGCCACAAATGAAGATGGGCAAGAAGAGCAGCCAACACGCCGGGTCTCCGAGTGTTCGCCTCATCCGCTACCCTCCGTAGCTGGCGTAAGCAATGCGCGCTGGGGAACAATAGCGACCAACCACACAATGCGCAGCCTTGTTGTGCGCTCGTGGTGGTAGGTCTGGATCGTGCTGGGGTGTCACGTTGGCCCTGGCTACGGATACGATTGGAAGAGATGGCCTGAGCCTGCAGGCCTCTGGACAGTGCTCATGGTTGGTCAGACAAAGGGGGCGACTTTGGATTGAGAAGGAGAGTGTCGGTTGTGCTCGCCAAGATGAACCAGCTGGCAGGTTGCCCCTTTTCGCGTCAGCTTGAAGCCTGGGCTGCGTCGCTTTTGGCTTGTTTTCGCGTGGGCTCCGTGAATGGCATCGACCCTGCATCTTTGCCTTTTTGTCCCTGGGGTCCATGAGCCAAGCCTGTCAGAATGAGTGGGCTCATGGCGGTAGACCAGGTAGCCCATGTGAACCCGCGGGTAGATGTGGATGCTTGGCCGGGTCCCGAAGCCACTCACCCACCGGTGTTGACAGTAATAATCATAACATGCGACGATTGAGTGCAACCTTGGCCTGGGTATTCGTAGTCGAAGCTTATTTCTCTCCCGTTGTTTGAAACAGACTTGGGGTATACCCGTCGTTAGTTTCGGGTCCTCCCCTTGCTCAAGTTTCGGCTTATGCATCTGCGGGCACGGTCCTGCGTGTTTCCCCACGGCGACGTAAGCGGTGGGGAGCCATGAACAACTGCAAGCAAGAGGGCGCAGTGAATACTCCGTAGCAGATCCCCTATGGCCGTGTCCTGTCTCGGGATGGCCTTTGGGTTCAAAGCCCACGCTTGCTCCCCGCCTGCGTGCCGTGCCTCGTTACGATAGGAACGGACCGCACTATACAGGCCTGATATCCGCAGGGAAAATACAGATGAAAAAGTATGAGACGGCCACCGGCACCGAGCTGGTCATTCCTCCGGCCGTTTAGGTACTACTGTAAGGGACTACTCCACCGCGCTTCAGGCTATTGCAATGCATAGCAGTGGCAGGGCCCTGGTTAGCGCGTGCTTGTGGGCCTACAGCCCTCTGAAAAAAAAATGAAAAATATTACAATGCGCGGTCAGTACGCGGCAAATGCTCTGTCTTGTGGCCAACGAAGCCCACCTAGACAGCTTCCGCTGATCGCGTCCGCACAGTCGACTGTAGTGCGTGCTGTGATGCTTGGCTACCCGGCGTCCCACCAGATCTGGCTGGGGTAAGTCGTGGATGCCAGTTGTGGGAGAGCGAAACGGGGTGGAAACGATGCAGGCCACGGGCGCAGAAGCAAGGTACTTGCACTCGCATGCATGTATGCAGAGCGAGTGTGTACCTTATTCCATCCACGCGCACGTACGGAGTACCGAGGACACGCATGCCTTCCGGACGAGGATTGCAGGCAAGCCAAGCACAGTATCCGCAAGCGCGTACTGTGCGTGCCTCGTACATGCTTGCGCTTCCATCCGCAATATCCCATTCCATCACACGCTCAAATCAGCCGCTGCTGACGCGCTCATTCACACGCGCGCTCTCTTCACCTCGGGCGCCGGGACTCGGCAGCCTCACCCCCGTGGGCCATGTTGCCCCGAAGACCAGATACCAGAGCCCAACCTTGCCCGCCATCCCCTGTAGTGCCGGCGCTGCTAGCGCGCAATGCACGGTAAACTGGCCTCAGGTCTGGTGCTAACGACGGTAGGTGTAGGTACCCGTTGGTCCAGCAAATTCACGGGCATGGCTCCGTACCTCGCCCACCAGCGGGTCTACTGTAGCACTGTGATATGAGAGGGAGATCTGCGGCGGTAGGTACTGCTGAGGTGGGTAGGTAAGTAGGTACCGCCTGCCACAGCATCGCGGCACAGCGGTTCATCCTCCGCCTCCCTGGGCCTCCCGTCCCCTGAACTGAACACCCCCTCCCCCCGAAAAAGAGATCTAACGGCTCTTCTTCCACCATCCCTTGGCTGGCACCACCGATGCTCGCCCAGCCATCTCCAGACCTTGAGCTCCGACTCCCCTGCTCCCCCTCGCGGCTGCAACTGGAAATTGCTAGGCGCCCGCTTCTCTGCCTCTAGCCGACTGACTGCCTCGCTCTTTGGATGAGCCGGCTCAGCGCCTACCGCCAACGCACCGACGACCGATCGACCGAGCAGCATTGTATCGCATCGCATTGCCGAGTCCGGCTGTTTCGACCGCGACGCCGCCCATCGATCCGCCGCCCAGCGGCCTGTAGCCGACCATGGCTTTTCTCTTCAAGTCCAAGAAGAGCCAGGACCGCGCTTTAGCAAGCCGCGACGGCAACACCGCCTCCCAGGGTGCCACTCAAAGCGCTGGCACTCGCCTAGTCCGCGATGAAAAGAGTGTACCGCAACAGCGCTCCACGCCCACCGGAAGCCTTACCTCGCTCGACAAAGATGGCTCCGACACGAGCCCGGGCCCGGGCCATGGGCGCCGTGGAGGGAGCGCAGACACGACCCAGCAAAGCGACCTGCCGGTAAGTAACCCACGCAAGCAGAGCCGTCCTTCTCCATAACCACCTAACCAATGTCCAACAGCTCCGAAACGGACTGCAGTCGGCCAACCCCAATGCCTCGCTCTATCCCTGGTCGCAGCGGCGATTGACCTACACCTCCCCCCATTCGGGCCCCTTCCCCCGCTATGGCGCCGCCGTCAACGCGACATCGTCAAAGGAAGGCGACGTGTACATGATGGGCGGCCTGATCAATAGCTCGACGGTAAAGGGCGATCTTTGGATGATTGAGGCGGGCGGCAACATGGCGTGCTACCCGCTCGCGACAACAGCTGAAGGCCCGGGGCCGAGAGTTGGTCACTCCAGCTTGCTGGTCGGCAACGCCTTCATCGTCTACGGCGGCGATACCAAGATTGAGGATTCCGATGTCCTGGACGAGACGTTGTATCTGCTCAATACCTGTGAGTGATGGCTCCCAGCACGGGCGCATCCCATGCGCTTTGACTGACAATGGCGTTTGCCCTCCTCCAGCAACACGACATTGGTCGCGTGCCCTCCCGGCCGGCCCTCGCCCATCTGGGCGCTACGGGCATTCGCTCAACATCTTGGGGTCCAAGATATTCATCTTCGGCGGTCAGGTCGAGGGCTTCTTCATGAACGATCTATCCGCCTTTGATCTCAATCAGCTGCAAATGCCCAACAATCGCTGGGAAGTCTTGATGCAAGGCGAGGCCTCACCCAAGATTCCGGCCGCGCGAACGAACCATTCCATGATCACGTACAACGACAAGATGTATCTGTAAGTCTTGGACCCGGGGGGCTGGCTGCTGGGCGTCTGCTGTGCTGACACGGTCAGGTTTGGCGGTACGAATGGCTTCCAGTGGTTCAACGATGTTTGGTGCTACGATTCGACCGACAACTCGTGGGCGCAGTTGGATTGCATCGGCTATATCCCCGCGCCTCGGGAGGGACACTCTGCAGCGCTCGTCGACGACGTCATGTACATCTTCGGCGGTCGCACCGAGGAGGGCAGCGACCTGGGCGACCTCGCCGCGTTTAGAATATCGTCGCGACGGTGGTACACGTTCCAAAACATGGGACCCTCCCCATCTTCTCGATCTGGCCACAGCATGACGACGGTCGGCAAATCAATTGTGGTGCTCGGCGGCGAACCTAGCGCGGCGGCCGCGGGCATCAACGATCTCGGCATACTTTACGTGCTTGACACGACCAAGATCCGATACCCCAACGATGGTCAGCAGCAGAATGCGCAAAGGGCGCCTCAGGGTCGGCGGCCGAGCACGGGCGAGGTACAGAGCCCTCCTCGCGTGTTGCAGTCAAAGGATGGGTCGACGGGGACTCCGGACCTTCGGAAAGTGGCCGGCGGCCCCCCTCCCGCTCCCGCCGTCGCTCTCACCGTCGCTCCCACCGTCGCTCCTCCTCCGGCTCCCGTTAATACCGCTCCGAATGTGTACAAGCCGGCCCCACCCGGCGGCCCCGATATCAATGGCTCGCCGAACCCGGGAGCTCCCGGGGCGCCGACGTCCAAGCTTCCCCGCACCGCCATGACATCAAGTCCGGCCGGCCCGCCTCCTCAGGGACCTACACCAGCGAAGCCTGTCGCTGACGCGTTTACCGTTGGACGAGTTCGTGGACCGTCTGCCGATCGCACCGCCGCAGTCAGCTCTCCTCAGATGAGATCGGCACAGTCCCCGGTCAGCCGCGACGTCAGAAACGAAAACGATATCAGTACTGTCAACGGCCAGCGCACGCCAACGCAGCCCGTAAACAAGGGCTCTAAGCAGGAGCCAGGCGTTGCTGACCCGGCCAAGGTTAAGCAGCAGCCTCGCCATGGCCAGTCCCAAGGGTCTGTTGATGCTTCGACAGAGCCTATCGTGAAGGCGCCGCGACCATCATCTCCACCTCCCCCGACTCGCCAACTGAGCAATCCTCTCTCCAGGCGCTCGTCAAGCCGCAACTCGCAAACAGTAGCTCTTCTCAAGGAGCTGGACTCTGCGCGGAATCGAAACGCCTGGTACGCGTCGGAGTTGGAGCTGGCCCGAAAAGCAGGCTACGTCTCTACTGCAGGCTTCAGCCCGACGCTGGAGGCCCAGGCGAGCGAAGCTTTCGACGACGAAGACCGGCCGCTTGTCGAGGGCCTGCTAGCAATGCGGACCGAGCTGGCCAACGTTCAGAGCGCCGTGGACAAGCAAGCAGTACTCGCCGCAAAGCAGATTGCAGAGGTGGAAAAGCAGCGTGATGCCGCTATTCAGGAGGCAATCTACGCCAAGGCCAGGATTGCTGCTCAGGTCGGCGGAAGTGCAAGCAGCACTCCCCAGCTGGACGGCGAGCGGAATGGCATGGGCGATAGGACAGGTGAGATGAGCAGAAAGCTTGCCTCCGCCCTGCACATTCAGAGGGAACTCCAGTCGCAGTTGGACAGCATGGCCGCCGGGCTCGAAGCCGAGAGAAGGGCTCGCAAGCTTGCCGACGACACCGCGACCGCAGCCCAGAAGCGAATGACTGAGCTGGAAACCTATAAGCAACGAACCTCGACCGAGACGGAGCAGCTGAAAGCGGAGCTGCATCTGGTGCAGCGCGAAGCCCGCGAGCAGTCCGTCGCTTGCGCGGAGGCTGTTGCTGCACTAGAGCTCCTTCGGGTTGAAAAGGCGGAAATGAACGCTCGGTACAACGAGGCAGTAGGTGACTCGAGAGAACACAGCGAGACATTCGAGTCTCTCAGGAGCGCCATGGTGGCCTCGCAAGACGCCAGAACACACCTGGAAAAGAAGCTGGAAGACGAGAGACTCCAAAGAGAGACGATTGAAGACCGATTCAACAAGCTCAAGATGGAGCACGAAGCGCGGACTGCGGAACTTGCCGTGGCTACGCAACGGCTCAGGGACGCCGAAGAGTTGGCAGAGAAACACGTCCACGAGGCAAGAACGCATCGGCAAGCCGTTATCTCTGGGCTCGACAAGATCTCCACTCGGGACCTCTCCCAGACCAACAAGGTTGATACCGAGCGCCTCGCTGTGCTCCAGAACCAGGTCGTGACGTCGAACGCGTTGGTCAAGAAATACAAAGAGGAGGCGGATGCGGCTGCTGACAAGCTACGGAGCGCCGAGGAGCGCATTGCTGGCCTGGAGCAATACCAGGAGCAGTCCAGTAGGGAGGGCGTTTCCATCAGGCGGCAGCTCCAGTCGTCGCTGAGGGAGGTGCAGAGCTTACAGGCCGCACACGCTGACATCAATAACCGACTTGCCGCTCAGCAGCTCGAGACGAATGCCATGACCGTTCAGAACAACGCCCTCAAGGGCATTCTCAGCGAGCGAGGAATCAGCCCGACGAGCGCTGTGCGGACCCGCGCCCTCACAAGCCCGCGGACAACCTCTCCCGAGCAGGGCCGACTACGGGAGCTAGAGGCGCAACTTGCCAGCGCCGCTGCTGCGCACGAGGAGACGAAACAGGCGTTTGCGGTCCAGGCACAGGATTCGGAAGTAGCGTACCGTGAAAAGCTTTCACAGCTCGAGAGCGACTATCAGTCGGCCGTGCACTATGTCAAAGGGACCGAAAAGATGCTCAAGCAGCTTAAGGAGCAGCTCACGCGCTACAAGTCTGACAATGGGCGCCTGAAATCTGAAATTGAGGAGCTCGAGAGCCTTGCGCAGAACGGGGTCGGAGATAGCTCAGCGTCTCGGGGCGACTGGGAAGGTGAACGCAGTGCCCTCCAGAAGAAGATTGAGAACCTCGAGAGTGAGCTGGACGGCGCGGGAGCCCAGCTGGAAAATGACCTTAGGTCCCTCAAGGCAGAGCTGGCCGAGAGCCACCGTCTACGGGATGAGGCTCTGAAGAGCAATGAGGAAGTCACGAAGAGCCTGAACTCGCACCGCAAAGATCTCGAGCAGCTGCAATCCGAAAACTCGATTCTGGAGCAGCGCGCGACTGATGCCGAGCAGAAAGTGTCGCTGCTGCTTGACCAGGTGGAGAACTCGGTCGACAGCTACCGACGGCGGAGCCGTCAGGTCGTCAGCATGAACTCGGACACGCCAGCGGGCTCCAACGGGCTGATCTTGGGCCATACTCGAAGCGATAGCTCTGACACGGCGAGTGCGTACGGCGGCAACGGCCTGGACGGTAGGAACAGCGTTGCCCTTGACCACCTCGCGACGGAGCTGGAGACTCTACGCAGCCACTGGGAGGCTACCAACAAGAATTACCGACTGAGCTCCAACTTTGAGTTTGACCAGCATGCCGGAGCCAAGGAGGAAGACGACAGCGCCGCCGCCGTTGGACTGAGCAAAAGCCTGGCCGACTGGAGGAAGAGGCTGGACACGGATGACCCCCCTCCCGCGGGCGCGGACAAGACGCACCCAAGTTAGGTGATGGATTTCTCCGCGACGTTCGTCATGACTTGGCCAGATATACCCACGACTTGATCTTTGCGTCTCCGTCATCCCTTTCCCTCTCGATTTCCTTCTATTGCCCTCTGTTGCGCTGCCTTGTCTGTTCCTTCGTCAAACGCCCCTTCCGGACGAGGGTGACGGGACTGGAGTCGGAGACAGGATGTGCTTTGTTGCGGCGTTTTGTTAATTCTACCTCTGAGCGACCGCTATCCCTCGCTTTTTTCGAATGTCTAAAATCTGAACCTATCGGGCCCTCGGCCCTATACCTTCCCTCCCCTCCTTTCACCACCCTTTTATCATTCTTTCCCCATCACACTGCGCTCGGACGCGAGACCTTGCCGGCATTCCATCGCGTCTGCGGCAAGAAGGGAGCTGGCTGGTATGTGTACACCTGTTTTTCGTGGCTGGCCGATGGGGGAAATCCGGAACATCCCCCCCCCCCCCTTTTTTTTTGGCTCTTTTGCCCTTTATCCTTCTTATTCTTCTCTCTGCTGTCCTTTTAACTTCTTTGACGGGAGCGAAAAGAGATCAGTCGGACGATGTACATGTGCGAGAGTGCTTGCCTGCGTCTTTCCTTGCTTTGTCTCTGTGTGGCTATGTGTTCTACGTACGTGTGTTTGTTTCAGTAATGAGGAAAAGAAAGGCGCGTCTGCCGGCCCGGTCGAACATGACGAGATGAATGGCGGTTTTGTTTTTCACTTGGCTTGCTCGGGTCAATGAAATTGATTCGATGGACCTCTTCTGGGTCCGGGGGTTCATCACTTTTCTGGCGCTACGCTGTGAGCTCCGGGTTTTTGCAGTTTTACGCGCGCGCGAGATTTGATTTTGTCATCTAGGAACTCCCATGTTTAGTTAGGGGCAAGAGGGGATGCGACACGCAACAAAGATACGGGACAAGATCCTCGGGCCAATGATGATGCCCTAATGCAACACAACTAGTTTCCCAGCGCCGTGCTCTTGTGACGCCGCGTTGCTCTCCTTTTACGCCCATGGTCTTTTTCTGTCATTGCCTTCATTTCCCAAGCGGAAACGGAACACGGCCTCGACGAGACACCGGCCTGTCCTTTGTCGCCCAAACACACACAAGCCAAGCAAAGCATACCTACCGCATCACGTCGCGGCCATCAACCTCCTCCTCTGCAGGGCGAGGCACCTGCCAAAGTCGAGCTTCCGCCCATCGCGGGGCATGTGCTCGCCGCTGGCGATGCAGAGGATGCGCATCTTGGGGTCGTAGCGGAGGCCGGTGAGCAGCTTGGGCGTGATGAGGAAGTACTGGCTCGTGTGCTCGCGGCAGGCAATCTCCACCATGCGCTCGTGCACCATGCGCTCGTTGCGCGGGTCCATGCCCTGGTTGATCTCGTCGACGACGCGGAAGGGCGACTGCGCCATCGACTGCAGCGCCATGAGATAGAAGATGGTGGATACGGCACGTTCGCCGCCCGACTGCCGGTGCGCCGTGAGCTGCTGTAGCGCTTCGTTTTCTCTGCACAGGCACCCACCACGGTCAGTAGAGGGGAGGGGGGCAAGGGGGGACCGGGGAGTGCTCACCGAAACTTGACCATGATGTCCAGGGCCCACAGGTCAAAGTCGTCGTCCTTGTGGACGCGCACCTCGCCGGCACAGCTAATCTGCTCAAAGTTGTAGGCAAAGGCATCGTTGATCTTGGACACAAGCTCGTCCAGCCTCGGCTCCCACTTGCCCATAATCTCGGCAAGCTGGCGGTCGAGGCCCTCGAGCTTGTCGTTGAAGCCCTCCATCTTGCTCTTGAGGCGGCTGATTTCCTGCGCGCGGCGCTCGAACTCACGTATCACGTTAGGATTGGCGGCGTGGATGAGCTCGAGCTTGGCCTCCTCGGCCGTCATGTCCATGTCCAGCTCCTGTGGCGTCTTGCCGTCCGACAGCTGCGTCCACAGATCCCGCTTGGCCGCGTTAGGCGCGAGCAGGTCCCTGACTTCCTTCGAAAGTCGCCGGCCTTGCTCCTTTGCGCGGCTCGCCTCGTCGGCCGTCACCTGCACGTTCCGCCTCTCCCGCTCGAGGCGCTCCATCAGGCTGGCATTGCGGCCCTTGAGCCCTTCAATGTCGGAACGCGCCTCGATCTGCTGAATCTTGGCTTCCAGGAGCGCACGGTGGGCGTCCCGAATCTTGCCGATGAGTTCCTTGTGTTGGATGACAAGCTTCACACGCTCGAGAGCTGCGTTATCCCACTCGTAGTGGAGGTCCAGCATGCTCTTTCTCGAATCGCGCAGCGCTTGCTCGTGCGTCGCCTTGGCACGTTCCTCGGATTCTGTACATTGTCAGCCACGGGCCCGTGCCGAGGAAGCCAGCGCTCAGCTCACCAATCTTTTCTGGCAGAGACTGCCATTTCTGATACTCTCTCTGCAGTGCGCTCTTGTCGCTCTTCAAGGTGTTCTGAAGTGATGTGAGCACAATCTACATGCGTTACCGCTAAACGGGTGTAGGCGACTTACGATTCTCTCGTTGACATTCGACGCCTGGTCGTCAATGGCGGGGAGTTTCGCCTTGAGCTCTCTATACCCACCCGCCAGGAAGTCCTTCTCGCCTTTAAGCTCCATCAGTCGGCGATTGAGCTCCGTCTTCTCCTGAGAATCGATGGGCTGTGACGTCCAGAACCGTCCCGGTCGGATATTCCTGCTAATCGTCGTCATGGCTTGTGGCCCGTACTCTCTGCGACGGCGCACGGCGTACGAGTGCTGGCCGGCAGCCCACTGGCTGACTTTTCCGTTGTTGACGAGCCTTTCGTACTCGGCATCATTGTGGTCTCTGAGAGAGACGCCCGACTGGTGGAGCCGCTTTTCCGCGCAGAGCATGGCCAGGACCGGAGCGGGACCGTCTAGGTAGTCGACAGCGAAGCCATCCAGGCCAAGGGTGGAAACTTCGGCTCTCCCGACGGGTGATTGGAATGTCTCGAGCGAGTGTGAGCACGTTCGAATGACGACGGACAGGCTGAGTACTCGATAGAGCTGATCCGTCAACCTCCTGTAGTCGTTTTTCGTCTGGGCAGTGAAGCAGAGGAAGTCATCATTCTGCAGGAGAGCCTGCACTTGGTCCGAGTAGCGCTCATCCTTGATAGAGCAACTGATCATGGGCGGCCCAAAGACTTCCTGTTCGAACTCGCCTTGATGCTCCCGCACCCAGTCCCATCCGGCCGCGACATCGGGGAAGTGCTTCCTTATAAAGTTTAGCTGCTGGCCCTGCTGGGTGTCGAGGGCCTCGATGTCGGCCTCGACCCTTTGTATGTGCTGGATAACCGTTCGACCCTTGTCCTTCATCGAATTCATTTCCGTCGACATTTGACGGCGCTCTGCTTCCAGTTCTCGCAGGGTGTGCTCTTCGGCCCGCTGTGGTTACAGGCAGTTAGTACCGTGATCGGATGGGCAGGACGTGGCCAACTCACAATCTTTTGGTTCCAATCGGCCGCGTTAAAGTCGGCTGGTCGGTTCTTGAGGTCCGCCTGGAACATGGTGATCTTGGACCTTGATGCTGCCAGCTCCTTCTTCTTTGCTTCGAACCCTTTGCGCTCCGCATCCAGCCGATCGCCCATTTCCTTGACCTTGTCTGCCGCCGTGGCGACGTCGCGCGCTGCGGTCGACGTCGCTTGTTCAGCATCTTTCAGCACCTGCCCCCTTCTCGTTATGGCAGCCTCGATTTTCCCCGCGTATTCCATCTTCAGGTTGACAGCTTCTAGCGACGGCCCGCATTCCTCTTCGAGTCGCCGCAGGGTTGTCTCGGCCTCCTTCTTGCGGTCCCGAGCCTCGGAATGCTTGTTGCGAGCTTCTTGATACTTGGCCAGGACCAGGGCCGAGCGGAGATTCTGCACTCGCTCCTGGATTTCCTCGCGTTCCCGGATTCTATCCACGTCTGCTTGTAGTCCTTGCTGGCGGCTCTCGAGGTTTCTCAGGGTTTCAACATCGGTGTGGACCGTCTGGGCCAAATCCTTTTTGTCCTTGTGCAGATCTTGTAGCTGCTTCTGCCACTCCAGCATGGCCTCGGGGGCCGCAGCACGGAGAGTCTCGTGGAGGAGGTCGATGGGCGTGCAGGCAGCGAACTCGACGACTCTGTCCTGGGGCAGAAACTGGCACAAATTGTCGACCTGGATCTTGAGCGAGTGCATCAGGCTTTGGATGGCCTTTTGCGTCGCTTCCTTGCCGTTCAACCACCATTTCTGGCTATTCTGCTCGCGACGAATCTGAACTCGAACGACGTGGTTGGAGCGGTCCTTGGGCCTCTTCTGCAGCTCAATCTCGATGGTCGCCGTGTCCTTGCCGTGTTTGACAAACTCCTTGACGGAGCCAGCACGTCCGAGGTGCTTTGGGCTGTAGCCGAGGCCGAGACAGATGGCGCAGACGAGGGAGCTCTTGCCGGTGCCATTGGGGCCGATGACCATGTTGAGATGGGGGCCGGGGAAGAACTCTGCCTTTTCGTACGTGACAAAGTTCTCGACCTTGACGCGCAGAATGGCGCCTGGATGGAACTCGTCCATGGAGACGTCCTTGGCGGCTCGGCTGACGTTGGCGGCGCTGCTCCGTGAGGGTTCATCGCTATCTGATTCGAGACGTAGGCGCCGCCGCTTTGGACTGTCGGAAGAGCCGTGCGAAGGAGGGCCGTCGCTGGCTTCGTCGTCGTCGGATTCGGCGCGCCTTCGCCGACGAGACGAGGAGCGGGCCATGGCGGCGGTGCAGGTCGAGGGGATTTGCGTCGCTGGCTGCGGTGGATGATGGAGGCAGAAGCGGCTGCAGTCACTCAGGGCGCGTTGTTCACGCGTTCTCCAGACCCCACCAGGGTTTTCTCGCTGCTAGTTTTGCGGAGTCCTAACTATAGCTGGGGTCCTCTGCCCCACGCCGGTGTCCAGAGGTGCCAAGCAAATTACATTGAGCATCTGAGAACAATCACACGAGTAGATCTCTTCGCCGGAGGCTCACGGCACAGATTCAAGAGCCCTGATTGTCTGCAGCGAGAACGTCGTCGCAAAGCCAACGCGCAAGTACCCGCTACTCTCTAGTTATGCTTACACGCAGTGGTCTTGGCGGTACATGTACCAGCTAGCGAGCGCTTCGCCGTGGCAGTGACAGCCGAGAATGCGGATTTGACTCAAGACTCGACAATCCGAAAAAGGCGTCATAAATGTTGAGGATTTGTAAGGCACAAATCAGTGGCCCAAAGTACGCCGCCAGCAAACTGTAATCCAGGGTGTCGGTGTGATCGACGCTCATCAACAGGACCCTGATGACGATTTTCGACTTGCCATGCCCAGCACTCCATGACACAAAGGGTTTCACATAACGAGCAACGGCGAGCTTTCCCACCAATGGAGGCAGACAGAGCCTGGTCCAGGAGGCAAAAAACTAATGCGATGCGTGATCTGGGAATCGAACCCAGGGCTCCCCGACGTTACACGAATGGCAACGGAGAATTTTACCACTAAACCAATCACGCTTCGATGAGTAATACTTCTCATATTCCCTACTATACATTTCACACAAAATATCGTTTGTGACGACGTGATTCTGTCAGTGTTATCAAGAGTTAAGAAAAAGCTCATTGTGCTGAGGATATGGGTAGGTAGGACCTAAAGGAGAATCAATATGGGCTACAATATTTTAGCTCTTCACGGGCTGGCTCTGCCTCTCATTCCAGCTACTGCTGAAACTACAGGTGTGTGTTGGGGGACAAAAGACGGGCACGAATTTCATTCACCATAAGCTTGTCGCTGAGAGAGTACGCGAAAGAACCGACACACGGAGCTAGAAAAGACCCGTGATCGTGTCAATCGGGCCATTTTCAAGGCAAGTCGCCGGCGAGATGCCGTATTTACTCTGTCGGGCTCTGTTCGGAGTGTTCAAGCAAGCTGCTCCGGTATCCCTCGCTTGGCTTGGACCTCAATTCAACGCGGTTAAAGTGCTACCTCAGCGGGGGAGATCAGCTATAAGCACTAGTCTTGGCAATTGTTTAAGAATCACGTCCCCGAGGCGCCGTCCCCCCAAGGGATAAACAGGACTTGGGTGCAGCGGTGCAGGCATGTAGAGTACCTGCCGAGATGGGTTCTTCGTGCTCCGGCGCCTTTCGTCGATGATGATGATGTTTATTTCGCCATTGACGATAGTCAGAGGCACTGCGTCAGACTCGCTAAGCCTAATCTAGAGTTGTCCAATACTCGGTTCCGAGCCCAAGGAATTCGTCCCGATCTAATGCCTAAATTTCTCTTACATCCTTCAATCCGTCTCTTGCTCATTTGACCTGTCCCTTTCCAATTCTGGAGCCTGTCTGATGAGGTACAGACCACTCTCCTCCGCCGCATTTGACGAAGAGTCCACCTGCCTTTAGCCGTCCGGTGTAGCTAACCTACCAGCTGTGGGGCAACCACAGGTATAGGTAGAGGTTTGTGCTGAAAAGAAAGGTTAAGACAGAGGATGTATGTTAGTAAGGTGTCGGTCGTAACTTGGCGAGTTCCCGGCGATACACCGGGCACCCAGGATCTGTAGCTTTGTGTGCTCCTTTTCCACCGCACGCTGCACACTTAAAAACGTCGGAGGTGCAGGTCGACGCAGAATGGCCCGGTTGGCCGCACTGTCCACAGATCGGAGTTGGCGCCTTGCAGCGATCGGCGTGCAGCAGGGGAGCACAGGCATCTGCTCTGCATGTGCGGGCTCCGTCATCGAGCGCTTAGTCATTGCCACCTCCCTGTCGCCAAGAGAAGCGACGACATCCCTTGAATTCCAGCCGGCGTCGAGCGTGCCAGACTGTCCTTTTTCCTCGTCGCAGAGTCACTGTGCCGGCTCGGGTAGCTGCGGGCGTGGCCGAGGCCGTCGTCTGGAACTGGCAAGCTCGAAAGACTATGTTCGCCGACAAAGACATGCTGCAAAGCCCGTCCTCGCCGTTTCGCGACGATGAACCGGTTTGCTGCGGCGCCAGTTCGACTCGACTTGACCCAACGGTTCCTGGGCCCAGCAAGCGAGACTGTGGTATCATCCAGAATGGATAATCCCCTCTTGTTTCCCAGGCAACTCGCCGACCGGTCCGTGAGGCCCAGAACTGGGAGTGCATCCTCATTCATGCCTTGCCCCGGCATCTCGACTCCGAAAAGACACCAGAGCCGTGCCCCGAGGATGCGGGCGAGGCGCGCGTTCAACATTAGATAAAATATACACACACACACACACGACGACATTCGGGAATAGTGCCGTGTCTGTTTCATTCCCTTTTATTTTGGTGGCGGGGATGCGGCTAGTCTTTGCTGGAGCGAGGGCACTGGAATGCAGCGCCATGGCACGTATTCAGCGCTACAACTCAATAATCACCTGGCGCACCATTTTTCAACGCGCTCCTCGCAGGCCGTCATCTCTTTGCCCGTAGCGCGCGTTCTGCTGTCGGCAGGTCTCGTTCCGTCGGATGCTCCGCACGGTAGATGCCCAAAATTGCTGGTTCTGTATCAGAGCCAGGGCCAAGACCCAGTACAGCAGCGGCAGCAGCAGCAGCAACCAGCTCCCCCCCCTCCCTTATCTACGCCAACACCACCGCCACAGGTAAACATTGCATTCCAAGCTCTCGCACCACGCCCTCACTCACTACCTTGCCTTCCTCGTGGACAGAGCTGCATTTCCCACGCCTGAAACCCTTTTTCTCTTCCTTTCTCTTCTCGCACGCTTCGCCCCCCTCCCCCCTCCATCTCTTGGCTCGATCTTGCACGCGGCGCATCCCTTCATCGTTGCTCTCATCTTCTGCCTGCATCTTTCTCTTCGAGCCTCCACCGCCCTGCGTCCCACTCGAAATCTCCTCAACCTCCTTGTCAGCATTGCACTTCTCTCGGAGAATCGCGCGTTTCCGTCTCTATTGCATCCGCTCACGATATTCAGCAGCTCCCCGACCTGGCTGCAGTCCATCTTCTCTCCAGCGCATCGCTTCCGAGTAGTATGTGCTGATCTAGCCCCCATCGCGTCAAAACACCATGGCGGATGCTGTGGGCGCCAAAGTTCGCGCCCCCCTGGCCGAGACCACGAACCGCATCAACTCGCCCTTTCCCGCCAGCGAGCAGCAGGCCAGCAAGCCTCGCTACGACCAGACGGAAGCCTCGCAGGCACAGGCGCCTCGTCATGTCACCACCAGTTCCAAGGCTGCGGCCATCAACGTCCAGCACGTTGCCAACAACGCGTCCGTGTCGGCTGTCCTGACACCACCTCAGCCTGTCGACGACAAACGACTTTCCCAAGCCTCTTATGCCTCGACTTCCAGCAGCCGCAGCAAGAAGAACTACAAGACGCACATTGGGCCGTGGCAGCTTGGACGTACCCTGGGCAAGGGCTCCTCAGCTCGCGTTCGACTCTGCCGTCATAGCGTGACCAACCAGCTCGCGGCTGTGAAGATTGTCAATCGCCGCATGGCCTACCTGGTCCAAGACAGCAGTCTGGCAGCCCTCAGCAAGTGGGACAGCAATCTTCCCGACGAGATCAATGGCGAAATGCGTGTTCCCATGGCCATCGAACGCGAGGTGGCTATCCTTAAGCTTATCGAACACCCCAATATCATGAAGCTGTACGACATTTGGGAGAACCGCTCCGAAATGTACGTCTGCCCGTTCGCTACCTGAGTTGACGGGGCACTAACAACGACGCAGATACTTGATTCTCGAGTACATTGATCAGGGCGATCTCTTCACCTTCATCAACTCCAAGGGGCGCTTGTCGGAGGAGGTGTCCATCTACTTTTTCCGTCAAATGATCAGCGCCATCACCTACTGCCACTCCTTCAACGTGTGCCATCGCGACCTGAAGCCCGAGAATATCCTCATCACGGCCGATCTGCAGATCAAGATTGCCGACTTTGGCATGGCTGCCCTCCACCAGACCGCCAACCACCAGCTCGCCACGGCGTGCGGAAGCCCTCACTATGCCGCCCCAGAGTTGCTCAAGAACCGGCAGTACCGCGGCGACCGTGCAGACATCTGGAGTCTCGGAGTTATTCTGTACGCGATGCTTTCCGCCACGCTTCCTTTCGACGACCCAGACCTGCGTGTCATGATGGCCAAGACCAAAAAAGGGCATTACGAGATGCCAAAGTGCCTCAGCCCCGAGGCCGAGGACCTCATCAAACGTATGCTCCAAATCAACCCCGATCGTCGCATCTCTCTCAAGGAGATCTGGCGCCACCCAGTAGTGCAGAAATACAGCTATCTTGACGACTTTGGCGACAACAGTGGACAGTTGCCGGACACACGCAAAGGGTTTCAGTACACGCCGGTGCCTTCTCAGGAGATTGACCCCCAGCTGCTCCGGCAGCTGCGCTCCATGTGGCACATGTTCACCGAGCAAGACCTGGCATTCAAGTTGGCGTGTGAAGAGTGAGTCGTCCGCATCCCAGACCGATCGTCGCAAAAGCTGACTCGAGATTGATCCCAGGCCTAATGACCAGAAGGCCTTCTACTGGTTGCTTTACAACTATCGGGATAAGCAACTGGAGGACTTCAAGCCAGAACTCGCTCGCTCCATGAGTGACTACCACCACCTGAAGCCTGCAATCTGGAAGAAGCGAGTGTCCACATGCCAGTTTGCGCAGCCTCGAGCCAATGGAAATGGCCGATCTGTCTCTCGCTTCACAGTCATATCTAACGCTGCCGACACCGAAACGGACACGGACAAGAGCTATGACCCCTACAGAGGCAGCCGCATGCTTCAGCATTGCGATCCTGAGGCCAGCCACGCCAAGATTGTCATTCACCGTGACGCCCAGGGCACCCCGAACGCCTCGCAAGCGGCGAGACGTCGCAGCAGCTCCAACCCTCGAGGTGGCCGGGCGAACTCGGTCAGGACGTCCATGACTGCCAGACAGTCGTCGAGAGGCTCCTTGGCATCTCTACGCAGCAGCAGACAGGGCATGCCTCACGTTGCAGCACCGAGCCTGCGGCACAAGCGGGGTGTCGACTTCACCCATATACGAAAGCGGTCCTCATCTGCAGGACCGGCTCTGAAGACAGCTTCTTCTACTGGTACCGGTCTCGACACAGAGAATGGCTCGGTGCATCGACTCGAGTCTGGCCGCCCAACCACGCCAGAGATGCCAAAGCTGGTGAATGGAGCGTATCCCAGAGCTAAGGGGGGGCCCGTCACTCGCATTGTCACAAAAGGCGGTGTCTCCATGATATTCAACGAAGAGCTGCGCCATTTCAGCAACAACTGTGCCAAGGATTGCGACAAGGCGTTTAGGAGCTCCCTGATCGAGGACGATTCCGTGGGTGGATCTTGGACTGACGGAGAGAGGAAGCGCCGCGAATCGACGCCGTTTTCCTTGGCGCTCGACAGCCCTACCGTCACGACCCCTGCGACGGAAACGTCTGGCACCTCGTGGCATACCCGGCCGTTGCCAAAGCTGCCTGCCGAAGACGTCTCCAAGAGGTGCTTGGCCACGGCATCGTATGAATCCGACTATGGACTGAACTCGTCCGACGAGCGTGACGACGACGCCGAGTTGCTCGACGAGGAGGCCACCAGGCTGGCGCTCCCTGTCTTGCTCCCGAGACAGGGTGATCGCCGTGTTGCCTCTGCGCCGGCCTACAGCCAGGCGACTAGAAAGCTGTCGACATTGCCGTCAATCAACGAAAACGCAGGCATCCAGCCTACCGCCAACAATGACGGGGCACGGATCGTCTCGGCACCTCCTCACAGCTCGGCGACGGGTGGACGCGAGAAGGACCGGAGCATGGAATACCTCAGCAAGGTCGAGAACTCGATCCGGGTAGTCCACTCTCCTGGAGCGCAGAGCCCGGTCAAGGCACCCAAGCCGCTCAACATTCGCAAGAAGGCCGTGACGGAGGATTTCGGACGCAAGCTGCAGCGTCAACTCGCATACCATGCAGATGAGCACGATGATGACGCGGCCGAGCCCTCGCCGCAGGAAGCGAATGGCCCCGTCAAGAAGAAGAAGTCATCCTGGTTCAAGCGCTCGTCAAGGGCCGAGTCGGAGTCGAACGAGAGTGAGCCGCCGAGCGCAACTTTGGCAACGACGCCAAAGCCAGCCCAGCTGGCGGATGCGGACCCGACAGGCGAGGCGGCGAAGAAGAAGGCCTTTACTTTCCCATTCTGGAAGAGCAACAAGCACCGAGACTCCAAGATGACTATTCCAGGTAAGCTCGGGATCAGGCGGCGGGAGCTGTCCATCTGCCGAAGCACGAGCTGACAAAGGCACCAGGACAAGACAACAGCGGCGAAGGCCGGCAGGCGACCAAGCCGTCGCGAGAGCTCAAAGGCCGGTCTGGCCTACCCGACTCGGGCTCGGGCAGCACTCGGAACATTGCGGTTAAGCAGAATTGGCTGACGCGACTGTTCCGGGTCAAGCCGGCGACGAGCTACATTTGCATGACGCTGTCGCGCAAGCGAGCGCGACAAGAGGTTGCGATACTGTTGCGAGAATGGCGGCGTTACGGCATCCGTGGCATTCAGGTCGACAAGCAGCGTAACATTGTCTTTGCAAGGCTCGGTGCTAAGAACTGTAAGTGGTCCCATTTCCCGGTAGTTGGAATGCGATGCGTGCAAAGGCTGACGGCGGATGGCAGATTTGAACCTCAAAGAAGTGGATTTTGCTGCCGAAGTGATGACAGTAATCGAGCATGGGAAGAAGCAGCCGTTGAGCATTGTGCGATTCACGCAGGAACGCGGCGCGGCCAGTAGCTTCCACCGAGTTGTGGAAACGATGCGGATGATGCTCGACAGCCGCCACCTGGTGGTTACGGATAAAAACAAGCGGAAGATGATGATTAAAACACTGAATGCATAATGGCCACACCGACGGCAGCGGCGGCGGACGAGACGAGGCACCACCTTGCTTTCAGCCACGGGCATGGAGACGAGCTCTCTGGGTTGGCACTGTTTCTTGGTGACGGGACAGGAGCCCTGGAAAGGGGCAGGCGGTGCTGAGGCTTGGGTACTATACCGTTGCTTGGATGCCGAGACGGGTGTTTTACATACAAGACATTGGACCAAGGTATGGCGTACGGGGATTGGTTGGCTGCGTGGTTTGTTCTCGACTGGTTTTTTCTCTGCTCACGACAGCTCCGAGGCCGTTGTTTGCGACAGGGCTTTTCTTTGTGTCTTGACGACACAGAGTTGAGGATGTGGGATTATTCTGTTAGGTATGTAATTGAGGACGTCGACATGATTATGACGCGGTTGGGGACTCGGGCGAGACGGGACTAGTCGCCCATGCCGGCCCGGTAGGAAGAAGACAAAAGTTAATGAGACTGGAGATGCAAGAATTAGACGACGGTTTTTTTTTGCTGAGACGAGAAGTACAGTACGTAATACTACATCTACCGTTTGCGGCACACTGTCCCTCGAGGTACCTACCTAGCTTACAGACTACAGAAACATATCTAGGTGATCGGACCAAGAAATTGATCAAGGTCTATGTCTCCCTCTGTCTCCCTGTCTCGTCGCCCTAAAAGATGGGCTTTTGTACCCCTCTTTGCCCCTGATGGACCCTTCTCTCTAATTATAGTGGTCTCACTTCTTACTTACCTAGGTACCTAGGCAGGTAGGTGCCCACTGCGAAGGACGGGAGGTATCCGTATCCGTATAATTACAGCTTAACGTTAGTACCTTCGGAGGACGGAATTGGTGGTTCCGGCTCGCTCCGAAAGCCAGGGGAAGGGCCGGAGAAAAAAAAGTTCAAGCGCAGGCCGGGCATTCAATTGATTGCGAGCTTCTGCAGACAAGGATACCGCAGAGGGAGACAGGATGCTGCGGACGGTATCGGTCGCGAGGTCATGCGTGCCGAGAGCAGCAGCTGCTTCAGCACTCGCGCGAGCATGTCGTGCAGCAGCCACCACCTCCACGTGGACCCCGCAGCTCCATCCAGCCCAACCGCACGACTTGCTGTCTCGCAGCAAAGGCTTCCACAACACGGCCAACAAGATGGCGTCGGCGACGCGAACCGAGAGCGATGCCTTTGGCGAGATCCAGGTGCCCGCCGACAGGTACTGGGGCGCCCAGACGGAGCGCTCGCTCGAGAACTTTCGCATCAACCAGCCCCAGGACCGCATGCCCCCGCCCGTCATCAAGGCCTTTGGCATCCTCAAGGGCGCGGCGGCCACGGTCAACATGCGTTTCGGCCTCGGTACTTGCAGCTTCTCTCTGGCCCAAGAGCTTGGATCCCGGCTGACTACCGACGCTAGATGCAAAGATTGGCCAGGCCATCCAGCAGGCGGCCAAGGAGGTTGCCGACGGCAAGCTGCTCGACCACTTCCCCCTCGTCGTCTGGCAGACGGGCTCCGGCACCCAGTCCAACATGAACGCCAACGAGGTCATCTCCAACCGCGCCATTGAGATCCTCGGCGGCCACATGGGCACCAAGAAGCCCGTCCACCCCAACGACCACGTCAACCGCAGCGCCTCGTCCAACGACACCTTCCCCACCGTCATGCACATTGCCGCCGTCCTCGAGCTCGAGCAGGACCTGCTGCCCGCCCTGCAGACCCTTCGCGCCGCCCTCGCGGCAAAGGTGGCCGACTTTGAGGCAAAGAAGATCATCAAAATTGGCCGCACCCACCTGCAGGACGCCACGCCCCTGACCCTGGCGCAGGAGTTTTCCGGCTACGTGGCCCAGCTTGACTTTGGCATGGCGCGCGTCAAGAGCGCCCTGCCGGACCTGCGCCTGCTGGCCCAGGGCGGCACGGCCGTGGGTACGGGCATCAACACCTTCGAGGGCTTTGCCGAGGCCATTGCCGCCGAGGTCAGCAACATGACTGGCACCGAGTTCAAGACGGCGCCCAACAAGTTCGAGGCCCTCGCCGCTCACGACGCCATCGTGCAGGCCCACGGCAGCCTCAACACGCTGGCGACGTCGTTGACCAAGATTGCCCAGGACGTGCGCTACCTGGGCAGCGGGCCGCGGTGCGGACTCGGGGAGCTGGTGCTGCCCGAGAACGAGCCGGGCAGCAGCATCATGCCGGGGAAGGTCAACCCGACGCAGTGCGAGGCGCTCACCATGGTATGCGCGCAGGTCATGGGCAACCACGTGGCGACGACGATTGGCGGCATGAACGGGCAGTTTGAGCTGAACGTGTACAAGCCGCTGATGATTCGAAACCTGCTGCACAGCTCGCGCCTGCTGGCCGACGGGATGCGCTCGTTTGAGAAGAACCTGGTGGCGGGCCTGCAGGCCAATGAGGAAAAGATTGCCAGCATCATGAAGGAATCGTGAGTTGAAACCACCACACATCTTGTAGGTTGCTAACGCCATGTCCATCTAGGCTGATGCTGGTGACGTGCCTGAACCCCAAGATTGGCTACGACATGGCCAGCAAGGTGGCCAAGAACGCCCACAAGAAGGGCCTGACGCTCAAAGAGAGCGCGCTGGAGCTCAAGGCGCTGACGGGCGACGAGTTTGACAGGCTGGTGAAGCCCGAGCTGATGGTTGGGCCTAAGCCGTACAAGCAGTAGGCCGTGGCCGTCGAGCCTTTGGTGGGCTGACTTGAAAAATATGAAAATAAAACCTTGGAGCAGACGGCGAACCCTGTGGATGGCCTGGAGTATACTTGGTGCTACGTAGACGCCGTCTCTGTCCATGGCAAACCACTAACCCGTGTGTGCGATGACCTTACGGCATCATATGGAGCACTGTGTCATGGCGTCTGAGGATGTGCATATTCTGGTTTCTCTGCGTGCCCCATTCCATGCCAATCGTTCCCGGCGAGCATTTACTATTAACATGTACTGTACAGTATGCATGGCTAAAGCCGGAGGTGCCGGAAAGACCCGGGCCGGTGACCGGAGGAGGCGGGGTGGAGACGTGGGAGCCTCGGCTCCTCGGCCGGGCGTGGGGAGAGCTCGCAGCCCAGGCCACGCTGTTGGGTGTGTCATTTACGTACATGTAGGCGACGGACGGAAAAAAACCACCAGAGGAGCGTCCAAGTGCCGTGATCAGCGTGTCGGCTGGTTTCGAGGCATTGGCACAAGGGAGGAGAGAGCTGTAGCGAAGCCGGGAGGTACAGTAGAGAGCAGAGTGAGGGAGCTGTGATGCTTCTTTATTTTTAGTGCCAGCGTGTTTCCCGTTACCCCGCGCCCTCCGCAATGCCGGGCGGCTCCGCAGCAGCACATGCATTGGCCTTGTTGCGGAAGGCGGCGCGAAGAGAGCACTGCACTGCACTGCACTGCACTGCACTGCACTGTATGTGTGCGCATCCGAGCAAGGCCGACGGGTGCCGAGCATGCTGACTGTAGCTATGTACTGTAGGCATGTACTGTAGGCACGTACGGAGTATGCATGCAACGTCTTTTTTGCTCCCTCTCCCTCTCTCTCCTCCCTCTTCTCCTCCTCCTCCTCCTCCTCCTTCTCCTCCTCCTCCCTCTTCACATTACATACATTCACACGCCTCCTAACTGTGTCGAAAGCAGACAAACGTTTCCCGGGGGCACCGGCAATAAGGTAAAGCTTTCGAGGTCCGCCTAGTACGTCATGGCCGCGAGGTACCTGCATCATGGATCATGGCTAACTGCCGACAGGTACCTCTGCTCGGACTTTGATACTGTACGGTACCTGGATTCCACTGCCCACTGGCCAAGGCCCAGCCGTTGACACGTGAAAGAGAGAGATCCGACGCCCTCGCTGCCTCAACGTCATCCCTTGCTCTCCAAGCTTGCTCTCCAAGGCCTCATTTTCGACATTGTCTCCTCGGCTCTCCAAAACCACTCACGCACCCCAGCAACAGACACCGCCCACCATGGCCTCCACCGACACCATCCTGCAGGGCGTCGCCGTGCTCGGCAAGGTCGACGACGCCCACCGCAAGATCCTCACCCCCCAGGCCCTGGCCTTCCTCGCCCTGCTGCACCGGTCCTTCAACGCCACCCGCAAGAGCCTGCTGGACCGCCGCCGCCTGCGCCAGGCCGAGCTTGACCGCGGCGTCCTGCCCGACTTCCTGCCCGAGACGCGCCACGTCCGCGAGAATGCCACCTGGAAGGGCGCCGCGCCGGCCCCGGGGCTCGTCGACCGCCGCGTCGAAATCACGGGGCCCACGGACCGCAAGATGGTGGTGAATGCGCTCAATTCCAATGTCTACACGTACATGGCCGACTTTGAGGGTCCGTCCACTCTCCTCGCATGCATCCGCACAAGAAGCTGACCGTCCCTCCAGACTCGAGCGCCCCGACCTGGGACAACATGATCAGCGGCCAGGTCAACCTCTACGACGCCGTCCGTCGCCAGGTCGACTTCAAGCAGGGCGCCAAGGAGTACAAGCTGCGCACCGACCGCACGCTCCCCACCCTCATCGTCCGCCCCCGCGGCTGGCACCTCGAGGAGAAGCACGTCACCGTCGACGGCGAGCCCATCTCGGGCAGCCTCTTCGACTTTGGCCTCTACTTCTTCCACAACGCCCTCGAGACGCAGCGCCGCGGCTTCGGCCCCTATTTTTACCTGCCCAAGATGGAGAGCCACCTCGAGGCCCGGCTGTGGAACGACGCCTTCAACCTCGCCCAGGACTTTGTCGGCATGCCGCGCGGCACCATCCGCGGCACCGTCCTCATCGAGACCATCCTCGCCGCCTTTGAAATGGACGAAATCATCTACGAGCTGCGCGACCACAGCTCCGGCCTCAACTGCGGCCGCTGGGACTACATCTTTAGCACAATCAAGAAGTTCCGCCACAACCCCAACTTTGTCCTGCCCGACCGCTCCTGCGTCACCATGACGGTGCCCTTCATGGACGCCTACGTCAAGCTGCTCATCCAGACGTGCCACAAGCGCGGCGTCCACGCCATGGGCGGCATGGCGGCCCAGATCCCCATCAAGGACGACAAGCAGGCCAACGACCGCGCCATGGAAAACGTGCGCGCCGACAAGCTGCGCGAGGTGCGCGCCGGCCACGACGGCACCTGGGTCGCCCACCCGGCCCTCGCCGCCATTGCCACCGACATCTTCAACGCCCACATGCCCACTCCCAACCAGCTCTTTGTGCGCCGCGACGACGTCAAGATTGGCCAGAACGACCTGCTCAACATGAATGTGCCGGGCAGCGTCACCGAGGATGGCATCAAGAAGAACCTCAACATTGGCCTGGGCTACATGGAGGCCTGGATCCGCGGCGTCGGCTGCGTGCCCATCAACTACCTCATGTAAGTCTCGAAGCCTGGTAGAGGAGGGACGAACTCCGCAGCAGCTGGCCGTTGGCAAGTGGGAATGCTGCCTCGTCGATTGGGCATGGCAGCCTGCGAGAAAGGACCCGTCTCCTTTCCCGGTGCGCACACACTAACACATGCACACAGGGAGGACGCCGCCACCGCCGAGGTCTCGCGCAGCCAGCTCTGGCAGTGGGTCAAGCACGGCGTGTCCACGGCCGACGGCAAGAAGCTCGACAAGGCCTACGCCCTCAAGCTGCTCAAGGAGTGCGCCGACGGCCTGTCGGCCCAGGCGCCCAAGGGCAACAAGTTCCACCTGGCCGCGCAGTACTTTGCTGGCCAGATTACGGGCGAGGATTACGCCGACTTTTTGACAACGTGAGTTTTCTTCTTTTCGTCGTCAGGTGTGAGGAGGAGGCGGGAGGCATTCAAAGGGGACCTTGCAGCGTCAGACGCACTACGAGATGGCACGGAAAATTAACAGCACGGCAGATTGCTCTACAACGAAATCACGCAAGTTGGGTCTCCCAGCCCGGCGTCGAAGCTGTAAGGGCGAGGAGGCGAAGATGGAGACTCTGGTTGTGTGAGTTGTACCGATGCCATGGCCAAAAAGCTGAAGCACAGACGTGTCCCCCGTCGTGTAGAATGGACTGTCCGACGGGTCGGTGGCAGGCTGTCGTTGCGGATCACGCTGTGTTTGTTGTCTCGAGGGTTCTGCATGCCATGCGCAGGACATGTCCCTGTTTCTCTCTGGGCGAGTGTATGTATGCTTTATGTTCTTTGATATATGTGTGTGAGGAATCTCTCGCGGCACCTGGCCGGTGCGTTCTGTTGCGTGCAGAGTGAGAGTCGGAGCTTGCTCGATATTGTTGGGGGTAATTGGACGGACGAGGCATCCTCGCAGGCCACATGGTAGCGACAATGCTGTAGGAGATGCCGGCCTGTCGAGTCAGGGCTTGTGGATGAAGAAGCTGCACCAACAGACGTCAGTTAAACCGTAGCCCGAAACATTAGCCGACCCCTTCAACTTACAAACGAGATGATTCTCTCTCTCACAAGTTGGGGGATTTGCATGGCCTCTCTTTGGAGAGCATCCCCGTCCGTATTGTCCGGTTAGATAGGGGGTAGGGCGCGGGGGCAGGTTGAGCAAGCAGAGGAGGAGCAGGCCAGGATAGAAGAAGGATGAGCACGGAGAGAGCAGCAGCCAACAAGCCCAAGACAAGGCAGATGAGAGATACCTACGTCAAGCCCGCACTGAACACACGGCACAGTGCATGCATGGGGTCCATGAACGACGCCGGCACCACCCAACAGAAAACGCCACGATGCGCCCGCCGAGCGGTTCGGCGGCTCGGGAAAAGCCACGGCATCATGTCCCGAGACGGCGGGAATGCTCGAGGCCGCGGCGGCGTCCACGCCCTCCTTCCCCGGCCCCCCCCGGAAGAAGACGGATGTATCTTGACCAATTTTCTTTCCGTTTCGTTCTAATTACAACCTTTTTACACCTTTCTCCGCGACCCGTAGGGAGTGTGTTGACGGGCAATGCGCAACGGCAGCTTGCCCGGTTGCATGGACGGCTGTGTTCGCGTGGACGGTACGAATATATGTCGTGGGACGGCGGCGTACTGGACGTACGTACATGCTGCAGAGCCCATCTGCTGCGCATCCGCGGGAAGGGCTGCCTGGTTGTCGTACAGCGCAATATCTTGTATTATGTGATACGATGGTCTGGTGCGGGAGCCGCCTCTGCATGTACCGTACAGGACGGCGCTGCATGGTGCCACTGCCTCTTCCCGGTCCAAGTGAGGTAGCTCTGCCATGTAACTCGGACTGTCCTGGCTCCAGACGAAGAAGGGGGGATGAGACACTGGGAGCGCCAGAAGACCTAGAACAAAGGCAGTTTCCGCTAAAGAACCAATTAGACCCCGGAAAGAGGGGGAGGCAAAAGAAAGGAGAGCCAGAGAAGTCGATTCGGGGAATCAACAGACACGATGGTGGGGAGAGGGAGGAAAAAAAGAAAGGCGAGGAGCACAGAAACGTGCACATCCAACGGTCTGTTCTAGCCCTGCGGCCACGACGTCTCCAGCAGAGGGGGAGGGGGGGCCAGCATGTACTACAAGATTGCCCTTCCTTCTTGGCCGTTTGCTCTCCTGCCCTCTTTTTGTCGTCGCTTGGTTGAAGGAGCATGAAAAAAAGGGACGACGAGATGAAGCCGCCGCAACATGGGCAACCCCCCCCCTCCCCCCGGCCAGAGGTCGTCCCCCTCGGTGAGAAGATGAAAGCAGGCGAGGCCAATGTCACCCTGCAATTACATGCAGCACCAACTCGCGCTCTCGGTCTGGCCGGCCAGTTTGCTCTTCCAGAATACCCCCGTAGCCTCGGGTGTCGGTGTCCTGTACGGCCACGGTCCCCGGCTCGGTACATGTAAAAAGCACGACCTACCGTTTCAGACAGACATCGATTACGTAGACTGATTGCCGCCGCACTCTGGCCAAGAGCTTACTTACAGTAGGTAATGTACGAAGTATTTATGCGTCTATGCTTTTTGCATGTGTGTCGTGCTAGGGTCATCCGCAGACGGTAGTCCGCCCTTGCTTCCCGAGTCGAGCAGAGTCTCAAATCTATTGGGGTCGGGACGGCAGCCTTGCGAGCTGCTGGGGTCCAGAACCCTAGGCTCTTCTCTCTCTCTCCTTGGAAGAGACAAGAAGCCCCCTGTTCCGATGCATGATACATCAGGGTTTTGCTCGGATCAACGTTTCCCATGGAAAGGAAAAAGCAATAAAAGGAACCCAAGCACTCACCCATGTCGAGCTGCCTCCCAGACACCCCGGCCCGCTTCGCCGTGGCGTTAATTACCCCCCCTGCCCGCTCAGGATATCTCGCGTGGCATCCCGCCCCGATGACAGACCGGTCTGTCGTCAGCCTGGCTCGGCCCGCCGCCATTGCGCTGTAAATTTCTTTTTCTCTTCTTCATTTTGCATCTCCGCCAAGCAAGGACACGCAGAGTTTACTGATTCTGCATGCCGTGTCTAACAAACTTGCACGCCTGTATGTACTGTATGTATACGGGACATGTATGCATGCATTGCACCACATGCCGTAGTAGGCAGGCATCCATCCACACAGGCACTGCCCGTTCGTACGCAGCAGCAGGCGTGGATACTGTGTGCATATGTACACACTCACAACTATGCAGGCTGCGGTGGGTTGCACGGGTCGATGAAACAGCGACAGTCTGCAACTTGAGATGTGACCGCTTGGGCCACAAGGCAGACACCTCTTTCCCGTTTGGCCTCGCAGCTAAGTCATGGTTCATCTCTACGAGCGAGGACGCTCACCAGCAGCCATGCTGTACCACCGGGATGAGGGGAGATGCTTGGGGGGTGCCACGACCATGCTTACAGTACTTTGCACAAGTCCCAACTTTGGATATGAAGACGGTAAAAGGAAAGAAAAGAAACAAGGAGACGCTGCTGAAGAAATGACGCGGCCGACGAGGATGCAAAGTCAGCATCGTCAACACACCACATTGGCCGCAGCAGGATGGAGACAACGAAACCTCTTGGCTTTGTCGCGGAATGAAGGACTGGATTCCTGCTGCCTCAACCCCCGGCGCTTGCATTCCAAAACGTCATGGCTTTCCAGAGAGAGGCGCGATCTTCGTGAGATGTGCAGATGGCTTGCCGCGGCCCGCTCCCCCCAACATGGCTGTCTCGCCATGTACCAAGTATAACCTCATGCGTACCCAGATTACCCGCATGCTGTGACTTGCAACATCGGCTCTTTGTTCAGGAAGAATTGAAAAAAAAAAGAAAAAAAACCGTGGGGAGACTGCGAGGCCGAGGGTGGCATGGCTTGCAGGACGGCCGGTTCGTAATGCAGCGCCCTCGCATGGCACAGGGAGCCCATTATCGTCATTTTGACAGACGGGTGAAGGGAACAGCGGCCAACGGCGAACTGATATTTCAGGAGCGGGCCGACAGGATAACAAGCCTGATCTTGGTCACTTATCACCAAGCCAGGGCGCCACTCCACGTGCGACGAGGGCCCATCTGCGCGGGTTCAAGCGCCATTCTTCCGACGACACTGGTCTGCATGCGGGCGGTACCATGGCGGTAAATCCATCATGCAACTCGGTGCATGCTCAGCTCTGGATGTCGTCCAGTGGCAGCACGCTGAAATGCCGCAGCAGCCTTGCCAATTGGTAGCCGGCTCTCGAGGCAGCGGGCTGATGCACGCTGGAATAGCAATCAGTCGGACAGACGTGTGTGCTTCGTCGAGCCACGGCTGCTGGCAGCGCAACTGGCACGGTGCAGTCTTTGCGGCTGGCCGTGCGCCGTGTCTGGTACTGGCCCAGACGGACGACGACGAAGAACCCGGCTTTCTCGGCACGCTTGGTGTGGCCCGGACCAGGAGCTGACATGAGATGAGATTTGGAGGGTCTGTGTGCTGGGCATGCGTCCCCCCCTCCCTCTTCCTCGCCGATGTAGCACAAGACATGGCAATTGGCTCGAGCCAACCAGGTCAAATTTGGTGCACAGCAGCACGGGCCGGGGAGGACCATCTTGGCAGGCCAACGGTGACGATGCCGCCTCGCACAGCGTCTCTCATGGCCTCGCTCGTCCATTGTATCGAGTACCGCTTCATTTCGTCGTGGACATGAGCCGCCTCGGAATCCAGCGCATGCTTGTACATGGTGACCATGGATGGAGCTGAGCCCTCGTGTGCAAGTGCTGCATGCTGCATGCAGCGTCGAGTCCCACAGCGGCCCATTTCCGTGGGGTTGGAGCTCTCGCGTCACCCAGCCTCGCACGTGCCGGGCGCTGGTTGTTGGCGTGGAAAAATTCCCTTTGGGCCTTTTCTTGTGTGCCGACTTGCGCAATCAGTCCACTTTACCCGGGGAGCGGTTTGCCGTCGCAGATGGCGCAGTGCTGGCATCCAGCCGTCGGGTTCCGGGTGTGTGAGGCTGGATGGAGATTGCGGCTGGGACAAGGTACAGGGACGCACACGAATAGGCGACACATGGCCACGGAAGCGCGACCAGGAGGCAGCGAATCCGAATCGTTGGTGTCGCATCCATGGACAGAGGCTCGCTCGGCAAGTAGGTGAAGCCTCGCTTGCAGGGGGTGCGGAGATGCAATGGCCATGGCACGAAAGGCTGTCTGTCTGACCTTGGAAGAGCAGGAATGCTTACCAACATGAGCGCTGCCTCAGCCGTAGCCCGTGGTGGTGGAGCCCAAGGCTGGTTGAGTAGAAAAGGCATCGTGGCTCTCTTCTTGTGTGACGGACTCGGGCCATCTCGCTTCCGCCGTGCGACCTGGGAATATTGCCGTCTTGCAAAGGCTCCGGAGGGCGACGCAGGCGGCCGGGAGACGAGCCAGGTGGCACAAGCAGCAGAGAGTGGGCGACGGGGAGTGGGCGAGGGAAGAGGCGTGAGACGACGACGAGGGCGGAGACGGGGGGTTGCGAATAGATGAGACGAGTCGATGGAGTTTTTGCGCCGCTGGGCAAGGCTGACGACGAAAATTCAATGCCGAGGTACTGGTACCT